TTTTCTCTTTATTTTTTCCCTTCAAAAATAAAATTTTATCAGAAAAAGCCATTCTTAGGGGTGTAAAAATTTCCCGACTTAGTCGGGAATTGCCATCGGGAGTCGGGGTCGGGATCGGGAGGCCAAAAACTCGGGAAATTTCCCGAGTCGGGTGTCGGGAGTCGGGATACCCGAACATCACTAACATATATACCCAAATATTTTTTTGTTAAAAAGGAAATGTAGAGAAATATATAGGGAACAGTTTTTGGCTATTTCATCGACTCTCAATACCAAGAAAAGAAAAAATTGGGCAACAACCGATAAGCGAAATATTTAAAAGTAAAAATGTCTAGATTTAAAGCCCAAAAACTTTAAGGCAATAGAAAATTGTTTTTGGATGTTTAAGCAATATTTAAGTGCCTTAAAAGTGCCTTGCCATATTTTTATGGCAAAACAACCCCCAACCCTTTTTGCCTAAATTTGGACAAAAAAATAAGAAAGTATAACAAATATTTACTTTTTTTGTTGTTGTTGATGCATTTTCTAATAAATAATTTTTTATTACTTTTTTTATACAAAATTTTATTATTTTCTTTTAACTAAATTAATTTTAAACAAAACCCCCACCCTACTTTCCAATTTGTTATTTAATTTGGCCCAGTCATCGATTATTTTTGGTTGTGAATATTAAACAAAGCTGCCGCCATTAATCTATCGTTAGTGCTAAAACTGCAATTAATTAATTAATTTTTTTTAATTATTTTTTCCAATCAAAATTAATTTGAAATAATTATTTTGTTTAAATTATTTTAAATATTATTGTCAAAATAAAATTTAAAAAAACATTTAAATATTTTGTCAAAATAAGATTATTTAATAAAAGACTATCTACAATTCTGTTAATTAAAAGATTGTTAATCTACTCAATTTTCTTTCTACAATCCTTTTTTTCTTAAATTAATTCACTTTTATTTATTTGTTTATATATTCGACCAATTCTCGCTCATTTATTTTATACACTTAAAGAATTACTTAACGTTTTTGAATTCTCTTCTCTTTAATTTTATTTCCAAACATTTCCCCTTCTTCCTCCTCTTCATCCAATTAATTATTTTTAGACTTGAATTTTTTTAACTATTTTTATATAAAAATATTAATTCCTTCTATTTTTATCTTTTTTTGTCATCAGTACTTTCCTTTTTTGGATAATTATCATTCACTTTAAACTCCTGATATTTTTCTAGAATCATAACATATTAATTAATTATTTTAATTTAATTCATTTAATTTTGTTTTTATTTATTTTGTCAAAATATTTACATAACAACACTTTTATTTTTCTAATTTAATCTAATTTTAGCCAAAAAATTTAAAATAAATTTTTTTATGTTTTTATTTTTCCAATTTCAATCCTTTGTAGATCTCTAGGGATAAATATATTTTTGTATTTCTTCTCTTCCATTTATTTCTTAAATTTTGCTTTTAAATTTCTTTTTTTGAATTTAAATCAGAATTGCTGTCAGCCCCCCTTATTTTTTTAAGAAATTTCCTTTTTTAATTTAAAAATTTATTTTTCAGAGAAAAAAAAATTTGTGGGGAGGACTTTCTCCTTTTTAAAAATTCCAGCTGATAATTTTGATTTATTGTACATAATATACAAGTTTTCTTACTAAATTCTATTCTTTTAAAGATTATTTTAAAAATTCTGGTTCTATTTAAATAATTTATTAACAATGTCTATTAATAACTTCAAAATAATTCTTTTTTCAATAAATATCCATTTTTCTTCAAAAAAATATTTTCCTCTCCTTTTTCCTTAAAAAATTATTTACTTCCCCTAAAGCATCCCTTTGGGCACTGATTACTTTAAAAATAAATAAAATTGCCTTTTTTACATTAATTCTTCTTTTTTTATTTATATCTGGAATTGTCGTCTTTTTTTATTAACTTGGCATTTATTTATTTTCTTTCTCCCAATATTTTTTAAAAAATCCCTCCTTACTTGGCAGCCGTTTCTAATTATCTTTTTCTCTTTTTTGGATGTTTATTTAAGAAAAAAATGCAAATCCAAGAAAATAACCAACAAAAAATTGGCTGAGAAAAAGGCTTTATATATTTGCAAAGCTAGTTAGGTAGGTAAGTATGTAGAGGTACTAGGGGGCCCTTATAAAAAAAGAAAAAAAGAATTAAAGCCAGCCAGCTTTGGGTGGCTTTATTTTTTAAATTAAAATGCAAATAAGGCAAATAGAAAGGAAGGTATATATTTTTATTTAAATAAATTGGAAGAATAAATTCATTTCTTAAAAATATTTTTTAACTAAAATATTTTTTGTTTTACTAAAAAATTATTTTGCCTATTTTTATAAAAATAGAATTTGTAATATTTCTGGGTACACCCCAACGTACCGCGAGCCTAACGTACCGCAGAGCTGTAACTTAGTTCAAATTTGTCGAATCCGGGACGCCCTAGTATGATTCGATGTGCCGCGACGAGCTAAATCGAATCATACCAGGGCGTCCCGGATTCGACAAATTTAAACTATGTTAGCGCTGCGGTACGTTGGCTTCTTTCAATATTTCTTTTTGAAAACCTTAATCTACTTTTGTGCTAATAAATTTAAATATTTTAGATAATTGTTGTTTATATTTTAATTAAAAGAAAAATAAATTAATTAATTAAATATATTTTTAACAAACTAATTTCTACATAATTTTTGTTTTTCTTGAACAAATTCTTTTAAAATAAATTAATCTTTAATAATCTATTTTTCAAATATATTTTTATATGTATTGACTCTTTTAAAAGCATATGTAGAAAAATATATTTAAATGAATGCTTAAAGCCTTTCTTTCCTCTTTCATGCAACCTTTTTTTTATTTTTTTTCAAAAAATGCTTTAGGGACATTTGGCACGCTTCTTCCTTTTTATTGCTTTTTAGCCACAAAAATGAAAGTAATACGTAGATATTATTATTATTTTAAAGAAAAATAATAATTAAAAAATAATTATAAACCTTTCCAAAAAATATTCTTTCTCTCCCTTGATTTTTTTTATTTTTAATTAATTTTTGTAAAATATACACATTTACATTTCTTTATTTCCCTCTAAATAATATTTTATTAAATTTAAAAAAAATTCAAAATCGATTAATTCCCTTATCAGATAAAAGAACTTTAAATTTTTTTAGTCATTTGTTTTAAACTTTTTTTATTTCTTCTTCTCTTTCCAGCTGTTTCCCTTTCTAAAAAAATAAATATATTCATTCATTCATCAACACAATTGTCAGTCATTTCAATTTTTATTTAAAAAAACTTTTTATTTTTTTCCCTTTTATTTTGTCATTTTCCAATATATCCCCCCCTTCCCCTTTTTAATATTTAAAAAAAGAATATATACCTATATATCCTTTTTACTTTTAAAAATTTTTAAATTTGCAAAATTATTGAAAATTGATCTTTATTAGAATTTTTTCTTTTTTTTTATTTAAATTTAAACAAACTTTTTTTTGACGTCTTTTAAAATTTAATAGCTAAAAGATTATTTTTTAAAAAAATATTTTTTCACATTTTTATTTATTTATTTTTGCTAATTTCTTTAAAATTGTTCTAATTCCTTCAAAAAAAGCCCTCTCTCTAAAACAGGCGTTCATTCAACACAAAAATTATTTCATCTTTGGATTTTCTCTTCATAGAACCCCTTGAGGGATATTTTAAGTATTTATTTTTAAAAAAACTTTTATTTCTTCTTTACAACAATTTTTATTTTTCATTCTTCACCTCTCTTTACTTTTTTTTTGCATTTTTGCAATAAAAAATAAATAAATATTTTTATTCTTCTTTAACTTTCTATTCACAATTTACTTGCTTTTAAATTCCTTTTTTTATCTTTTTAATGTGCAAAGTCCCCTAAAAATCGGAAAAAAAATTATTTAATAATTTAAAAAAATAAATTAACTGTTTCTTTACTTTTACAATGAACAATGTCTTTTTATCAGTTTATTTTAATGAGGAAATAAAATTAAAAAAAAATTTTTCTTAAATTAAAATTAATTAATTTCTTTTTAAGATTGTAATTTTTTGATATGTTTTAATATAGGTATGTAAATGATTATGTGGCAATTACCGTTAAATATATGTTTGTAAAATTTGCCTTGCATTTGCTATTTAATTTAAAAATAATCAAGACTCTTGGTCTTGACTCTTCACTCAAGACTTTTCTTGGGTTTTTTCGGTTTGGTCCTGGGGTCTAGTCTTGGTTTTTTTAATTTTTGATCTTAGACGTCTCTATCATTTATTAATCATTGTATAGGTAAAAAAGACATTGAAGAAGAAGTCTAATTTTAGATTTAGCTTTATTATTTCTTTTTTTCCTATTCCTTATCATTTATATATTTTTTAATTTATAAAAATAATTATTTTTAATTTCTAGTTTTATTTCAATTGTCCAAAAGGACATTATTACCCTTAAATATTTTCTTACCAAAATTACCTAAAAAATAAAATTATCATCGCCAACCGTGCCGACCAATTTGAATGCAACGGGGGAGGCTGAGGCCTCGTGTAGCTGTTTAAATAATTCAAAATTTAATTATTTAATTCAAAATGAGAAGAGAAGAAGAATAAATTTAAAAAATAATTTTTTAAAAAATAAAGAAGAAAATTTAATAATTAAAAATAATATTAAATATTGCCCACAAAAATTAGAAACATCAAAAGAAAAAAGGAAAAAAATATTTTTATTACCAAAAAATGGTAAAGGAAGGCCTTCTTCTTTAGCAACAACATTTTTATTTATTTTAATTTTTCTTTTAAATTTTTTAAATGCCATAACTTTGGATAGAAGATTTTTAATTAAACGTTATTTAATCAACAACAACAAAATTAGCGAACAATTGCCTTTTAATGTTTTATTAATTTTGCCTGAAAAAGAGTCTAATAATGACAAATTTGGTTTAACAATTCCAAAAGTTCGCCCAATAATAGATATTGCCATAGAGAATGTTATTAAATATGGGACAATGCCTCCAAATTGGATTAATATAACTTATCACGATTCTAGATATTGGGAGGATACTTTACTTGCTGAAAGAGTTAGTGCAACTGGGGTTGTACAGGTACATAGTAGTTGAATGAAATTTTATAATTGAAGGGGAGAGGATCAGGGACACCTCCTCAATTTTTCTCATACCTCCATTAACTTGTTACTGGGTTTATCTTTTTTATCCAACGAGTAACGAATTTACCTACTAATTGTCGATCCTTCTATGAGATAAAATCTCCCAAAAATATATACCTATATCCAAAAATTAGGCTTATTGTAATAAACGTCTCGATGCAATTTTTGGTTTTGCTGATGCTTATTCACTTGCAACAGTTTCAAAAATCTCTGCAGGTTTTGGGGAGGGAGTTCCAGTCTTAACAACAACAGGATTAACAACAATAATTGGCTCTAAAAAATCATATCCTTATGTAACTCGTATGAGAGGTTCATATACACAAATGGCCGAAGCTGCTTATAAATTTATTGCTTTACAAGATCAAAATTTTGAATTACAACAACAAAAAAGAAGAAAAAAACAACAAAAAAATTTATTTTTCCCCCTAAATTATCAAAATTTAGTGTTTATGTATCACGATAAAAGAAGAGCTTTAAATAAACCTCCTCCAAGTACAAATAGAGCAAAAATTGGAGAAACGGGAGGATATTCATCAGCACCAGATGAATCCCCCTCTTCTTCTTGTTATTTTTCTTCACACGCAATTAAATCTTATTTTCAAGAAAATAATGATTTTTTTATGGAAACGTGGAAAACACAAACTCCCCATGTTGCTTTTGATGAAGAATTAACGAGAAGTAAAGAAGAAGTTAGTGAATGGGTTAAATTGGCATCTTTACAAGCTAACGGTTTGTTTTGTTAATTTTTAATTTAAATTTATTTAATTTGGTTGCTTTTTTATACATATTTTTGTTTTTTCCTCCCAATTTAAAACATTTTTTATTTTTATTTTATTTTTACTTCATTAATTTTTCTCCCCTTTCTCTCATCAATTTACTGACAAATTTAACATTAAATATATTTTTTTATTATTTTTAATTTCAAGGGAAATAAAATATTTTATTTGTTATTTTTTACTTTTTTTAATTAAAAAAATATTAAATAAATTATTTACATTATTTTTCCACTTTTATTTTTTTTATTTAGCCAAGTTGATGTTTTTAAAGGTTTTTAAAGGGTTTTTAATTTGTTTATTTTACTTGTACTACTTATTTTTAACATTTTTTTATTCCAAAATTTTATTTTTTTTACTAAAAACTTTAAGAAATATTCTCTTTTCCATTAAATTGCTGCAAAAATTTATTTAAAAAAAGAAATTTAAATCCCTATTTGAGACACGTTCATTCAGCCAGTTTCCGCGACATCAATCCGTTAACCTCTTTTTTCTTCTATTTTCTCGTCTTAATGTTTTTTAAAAAGCAAACAAGCAAAAATAAATTCTTTCCTTTTCTTTCATTTATTCAAGGACTAAATAGAAAAGAAAGAGAAAAACAGGCAAAAAATTTTTTTAAAAAGACTAACAAAATTTTCAAAAAAAGCGCAAAAGCAAAAGCCATAGGGCTGTTGAAGAAGGTGATGAAAGAGGGAAAATGAAAGAAGAGGATATATAGTAAAATATATTCTCTTGTCAAACAATTTAGGGCATTAAAGGCAAAATTTACGAGTAAAGGAAGAAGCTTTTCTTGGACATTTTCCATGTTTTTTGCACACAAATTTTTGTCTTTGGCAAAATAAAACATCTTTTCTTCCCTTACTTCCTTTCTCCTCTTTTTTTCTGCCTTTTTAGTCTAATTTTAGGCAAAATATAAAAAAATGTAGAACAACTACGTGTGGAGAAAAATGCCTTCCTTTCCTAACCAACCGGATGATGGCCATTCACATTTGCCTTTTTTGATTTTTAAATGAGAGAATGAACGGGGAAAATAACAAACTTCTAATCCCCTCTTTTAAACAACAAACAAACAAAATATGATTATTAGCAGCATTTCAACTTTTCATTCCAACTTTTTAAAAATTTAAAGAAGTATTCTCATTTTTATTTTTAAAAAATTTAACAACTTTTTATTGAGACAACAAAAATTTATTAAATGAGGAAAACATTCCTTAAACAATTAAAATAATATTTTTACTTTCTTCCCTACTTTCAGCATTTTTTGCTAATTTTGAGTGGAAGAAAATTATTATTATATATTTGTTTGTACTAAAAAAGTTTACTTTAAATTGGCTTCTTTCCTCGAAATTCTCTTCTAATTTCCCCCAATTTTACTCACAAATTTATCACTGCGCAAGTATGTGTTCAAGTCTACTGATCAACAACGTTCTCTTGTATAAATAAAAAAAGAAGAAATGTTTGTCTACTTGAAAATAAGCTAACTTTTTTTGTTTAAATCTTTCAATCAACAACTTCTTTTAAATAATGAATGGGACTTTTCTTGTGCTAATACCTCTTCAATGGGCGCGACTTTAATGTTTTCTGCTTTTGTTGCCAATTCTAAAATCGACCTGCTTACTTTGACTTTTGGCTTAAAAAACTTCTTTTTTTTTATTTAATTCAACCTGGCAAATATTGAGTGACAGCGTGTCTAATATTATTCTTCTTCTTCCTTTCTTCTACTTTTTTTTGCCAAGTTCCTGAATTGACGGGTTAAAAGCGCAGAAAAAAATAAAATAAAGAGGAAGGTATTGAACACTTCAACATTTATTTTAAAACAACGAGGAAGGATTTTTCTTTAGAAATTTTTTGATGTTATTGACTTGTATTAGAAATTCTGTAACCAAATATGCAACAATACAACAAAAACAATAATAATAATTTCAATTTAAATATTTATTTTCTTCCATTTTTTATTTGTTTTCTTCTTTTTATCCTCATTCCATCTTCTACCCAACAAAAATATACTAACCCTTCCCAATCATTTAATCTTCTCCCTCCAATTAATCAACAACCAAAAATTCAAAAACAGCATCATCAAAGAAGACATCCTTTAATTTTTTCTTCTTCCTCCTCCTCTTCTTCTTCCTCTTTTTCCTCTTCTTTAGTACCTCAATATACCCGTTTCCCATTAAATATAGTTGTTGGTTTACCTACAGATGCTGATGATAATCCTTTACGTAATCCATATAAATTAAGTATTGCTAAAGCTCAACCAGTTTTTGACGTTGCAATTGAGGATATTATTACAAAATTTAAGGTTATTTAAAAAACGGAAAAAGAGAGAAAGACAAAAAATATCCCTTTCTCTAAAGATTCTTCCACCAAATTCTTTACTTATCGCCTATGAAGATACTCAATTAAGTGATGCTATTGGCCCTCAAAAAATAGTTAATCATTATTGTAATAAAAGTGTAGATGCTGTAATGGGTATGGCTTATGTTTTTGCTTTGGCCCCAGTTGCGAGAATGTCACAATTTTGGGGGATTGGAGGAGTACCTGTTTTTACTACTACGGTTTTTATTTAAAAAAATATTTTTTTGATGATATTTCAACCCTTTTTTTGAATTAAAAAAATTCTCAAAATTAAAACAACTTTAAATATTTTTATTTAAATTCATTAAAATTAAATTTTCGGCCTTGGTGGACGAATTAGGCGATCGACAGTCATTTCCATTACTTATACGTCTAATGGGCACATATCGAACACTTGGACAAATGGGATATCGTCTATTCATTGAATTAGGCTTTCGACGTTTCCATTTCTTTTTTAATGATCAAGCAGTTCATGGTTCAAGTCAGGGCCGTTCAGAATGTTATTTTGCCCTAAATGCTATTAAAAATTTAATTGGGCAGTCAAAATGTTGTAATTGGACTGTTGAAATGTTTTCACAACAAACAACAAATAAAAATATTTTTAAAGATTTATTGAAGAAATCTTCTCTTCTTTCTAATAGTAAGGGAAGGAATAACTAAATAAATGTATATTTAACTACAAATATTTTTTTGGGGAAATAATTTATATATTTTTTAATTATTTTATTTTTTTAAATTTTATTTTTTAATTATTTTATCTTTCTAATATTTTTTTTCAATTGGGAAAATAAATGGGATTTGGAAGATATTCTTTTTATTTTTTTGTTTAATTGTATTTTTTATTTATTTTATGTTTAATTATTTTGTTGTTCTTGTTTTGTCTATGTTTAATATTTTCTTTTTAATTTTTAATTTAAAATTATTTTTGTAGTTATCATTTTGTGTGCAAGTCCTGATACTGTTCGTGAAATTATGTTGGCTGCTTATGAACTTGGAATGGCTACTTCTGTATTTTTATTTTAATAAATATTTAAATATATTTTTTAAATTATTATAGGGAGAATATGTGTTTATAAACATTGATGTCTCTACTGGGTAATTCAAAAAAAATTAATTTAAAAAATATTTATATTTAAAATAGTTCACATGCCGAAAAGCCCTGGCTTCGTCAAAACGATTCATCTGGTTCAGCCGAGGAAAATGAAAAAGCAAAACAAGCATATAGAGCATTAAAAACAATTTCTTTAAGAAGATCAGATTTAGAAGAATATAAAAATTTTGAAGCTAGAGTTAAAGAAAGGGCTGAAAAGAAATATAATTATTCAAAAAATACTGGAAAAGAATATGAAGTGAATTTAATTAAATTAAATTTTAAAAAATAATTATTTTTTTTAGATGAATAATTTTATAAGTGCCTTTTATGATGCTGTTTTACTTTATGCTATTGCCTTAAATGAAACACTTTCTGAAGGTTTAGATCCAAGAAATGGAAGAAATATAACAAGTAAAATGTGGAATAGAACATTTGTTGGTAAATGAATAACTAAATTGGGGGTTTTTAAAATAATTTATTTTTTTAGGTATAACAGGGAATGTAAGTATTGACCATAATGGAGATCGTTATTCTGATTATTCACTTCTTGATTTGGATCCAGAACAAGGGAAATTTGTGGTAAAAGTTTTATTTAATTAAAAATATATGTAAATCTTTGAGGGTTTTTAGTTGGTTAAAATTTTTTAAATAATTGAATAAAAAAATAATTTATTGGGGAAATAATACTAATAATCTTTACTAATTTTAAAATTAATTTTAATTTTTTAAAGGAAGTTGCCTATTATTCTGGTGCTTCAAATGAATTAAAAGAAATAACAGATTTTCATTGGGTTGGAGGAAAACCTCCAAAAGATTTTCCGTTAGTTTTCTTAAAAAATATATAAATGATATTATCCTAAATAATTATTACAAAAATACAAGTCAAAATAAAATAAAGGAATTATTATCGAGGAAATACATTAATTAATTTAAGTGTTTGTGGTTGGGATCGTTCAAAATGTCCTGAAGGTTATCCAGCACATGTTTATGCATTAATGTGTTTGGGAATTGTTGTTGTTATTTTATTAATTGGTTTTGCAATATTTTATAGGTAAAAAATAAATTTTTAAAAATTATTTTTTAAATTTAAAAAGGCGTTATCGTGCTGAAGCAGAATTGGCTAAAATGACTTGGAAAATTAAATGGGAAGAGTTGGATGGAGAAGATATTGGGAAGGATAAAAGAAAAAAGAGATTAAATGTTGTTGGTTGTAGTAGTGGAAATAATAGAGGAAAATTAAAATCTGATTTGTTGGAACAATCAGAAGTTTTATTATTACGTTCAAATAGTAGAGTATCTATTGGATCTGATAAAGTAATTAAATTATTAGATTAAAAAATAATTATTTTTAAATAAAAATCTTTTTCATATTCGGATAACAAAATTCGAATTTTTAAGCTAGCCAGGCTAAACATAAAATTAAATATACCTACCTAATTTATTTAAATAAAATTTATTTAAGAGAAGTTCTTCCTCTGGTGCAACACGTAAAATTTCAGCAATGCTTGACAGAAAAATCAGTATATTTACTAGAAAGAAATCTTCCCCAACAGACCAACAACAACAACATAAACAATCACATTCCCAATCAGCAGGTAACAAAACAACAACATCAACAATAACAAATCCAGACCAACAACCACAACAACAAATATCAACAAATCATATTATTGAAAGAAATGCTTTTTCTTCCCCAACATTTTCTATTGGAAATAATTCAAATAATAATGATAAAAAAAGAAAAAAGAAATCAAATCAGTGGATTGATGAAGGAGGGGAAGGAGGGGGATTAGAAGAATGTGGAAGAGAAGGTGGAAGAGAAGGATTAGAAGAAGAAGATTTGGAATTAGGAAGTAATTCTGGTGTTGGCAAAAAATCTATTGTTTCTTGCTCTACTAATAAAAACAACAGAAAATTCTCTTTTAGTGTTTACAGCATTAAAGTAATTTTTTTAAATAATTATTTTATGGTTGGGGAGAATAAAGAATATAACTAGTGTAAACCTTTTATCTTTTCAGCCCTAAGTACAATTAAGAGTTAAACAAGTAATTAAAAAAATATTTCAGATTTTATTCTAAATAATTTAAAATATTTAAATTAAATATTTTATAGTAATAGCCAGTAGAGAGAGAGCTGGGCCTGGACCAAGACCTGGGTTTTTCCTGTACACAGAGTCCAGGCCCAGGCAAAAATCTCGATCTCTAATAACTATCTAAATTCTCTATTAATTATCTCGATAAATAAAATAAAAATAGAATTTTTTTCTTTCAAAAGAGTGGAGGTTCAGTAGAAACAATTCAATTACAAAATAATGCCCAAATATTTACAAAAACAGCAATGTATAAAGGCACAATGGTTGCTATTAAAATGCTTAATTTGGATCCAAAAAAATATCCAAAATTAGAATTACCTCGTTCTTTATTAATTCAATTAAAAGAAATGAAAGATTTGCAACATGACCATTTAACAAGATTTTGTGGTGCTTGTGTTGATGCTCCTAATTATTGTATAGTTACAGAATATTGCCCTAAAGGGTCTTTGGAAGATATTTTGGAAAATGAAAAGGTAGTGAAAAAAATAAAATTATTATTTAATTTTGTTATTGAGTTAACTTATTTTCTCGAATCATTCCCCACCTTCGAATATCCAAAAAATATCCAAAATTAGAATACGGTAATTCCCCCTCCCCATTCCAGGGATTGGTTTAACCAATAATTCCCCACTCTCAAATACCCTACTGCTCAAAATTCGAATAATTCCTCTCCCTCGAATCCCACGTGAAATGTTAATTCCCCAGGTGACTTATTCCAAATTTAGATAAAAATTTTTTCTAAATTTCATCGAGTCATACGAAAGTTTTGGGAGTAATACAAATACCTCGAGATGGAGACATTATTTTCGAGATAATTTAAAATAATTAATTTATTTAATTAAAAGATTAAACTTGATAAAATGATGAAATATTCATTATTACACGACTTAGTGAAAGGAATGCATTATTTACATGGAAGCCTTATTAGAACTCATGGAAGATTAAAAACCTCAAATTGTGTAGTAGACAGTAGATTTGTACTTAAAGTAACAGATTTTGGTTTGGCTGAATTACACGCAATGGAAGATATTAAAGAAGATGAATTAGAATCACATGCTTATTATAGAAGTATTTTAGGAATTAAATTAAAAATATTTTTTATATTTTTTTAGAAAAACTTTGGACAGCCCCAGAATTATTAAGAGATCCAAATTCCCCCGTCCAAGGAACACAAAAAGGAGATGTCTATAGTTTTGCTCTTATTTTACATGAAATGTTATTTAGAAAAGGGGCTTTTTATTTGGGTGAGGATGAATGTGTTAGCCCTAAAGGTATTTAAATATTTACAAAAAAATATAAAATAATTTTTCTTTAGAAATTCTTTCCAAACTTGTCCAGCCATTAGACCCTCACAGCGATATTGAACTTTTTAGGCCATTAATTCCCCAAGACTGCCAACCTGTTGATGACACCCCAGAAACAGTTAAAAAATTAATTGAATTAATGATGGCTTGTTGGAGTGAAAGTCCTAGTGGAAGGCCTGATTTTTCAACAATTAGAAAAGTTGTTCATACACTTAATAAGTACTACTAGAATTTTTAAAAATTTTTTAACAAAAAATTTTTTCTAAAGAGAAAACGAAACTTCTAATCTTGTTGATAATTTACTTAAACGTATGGAGCAATATGCCACAAACTTGGAAGGTCTTGTTGAAGAACGAACACAGGAATATTTGGGGGAAAAGAAAAAAGTTGAAGAACTTTTACATCAATTATTACCTCCCAGCATTGCTGATCAAGTAAATAAAAAAAGAAAAAATATATAATTTTTTTAAAAATTATTTTTAAAGTTAATTGGTGGTAATCCAGTCCAAGCAGAAGCTTATGACAGTGTAACAATTTATTTTTCTGATATTGTTGGATTTACTGCCCTTTCTGCTTTATCTACCCCTATGCAAGTAAAAACAAATTTATTTTTAGCAACCAATCTTTTTAATTTAAAAAGGTTGTTGCCCTTTTAAATGATCTCTACTTAGCTTTTGATAGTGTTGTTGATAACTTTAAAGTTTACAAAGTTGAAACTATTGGGGATGCTTATATGGTTGTTTCCGGTTTGCCTGAAAGGAGAGATGATCATGCTTCCCAAATTGCACAAGTAAAAGAGAGAGAGAATTTTGAAAATAAAGATTATTTTCTAGATGTCTCTTGCTTTATTACATAAAGTCAAAAATTTTACAATAAGGCATAGACCCAATGAACAATTAAAATTAAGAATTGGAATTCATTCAGGCAATAAAATTATTAACTTACAAATTATTTTCCCCCTCTTTTTTAGGTTCTGTTGTAGCTGGAGTTGTTGGATCTAAAATGCCTAGGTATTGTCTGTTTGGGGATACAGTAAATACTTCAAGTAGAATGGAAAGCAATGGATTACGTAATTAAAAATTAATTTCTAAATAATTCTTATTTTAAAGCTCTTCGTATTCACGTTTCTTCTGATACAAGAGAAATTCTGGTTAAAGATTCAGATTTTCAATTAGAATTACGTGGTGAAGTAGAAATGAAAGGAAAAGGCAAACAAACCACTTATTGGCTAAAGGTAATTTTAAAAATAAATTTAAAATAAATTCATTTTCTAAGGGCTACAAAGACACTCATGTTCCTTACTTTGGGCCAGAATACTTATAAAATTTCTTCTCTCCATATTACCTTATTTTCGCCTTCTCCAAAAAATATGGAAACGGGTATTAAAACAACGGAATAAATAAAATTTTTCTTCTGATTAAAATAGAATAAAGAATCAGTCACTCCTTCAAGAAATGAAAGAAATATAAAGTTATAGGAATAGAAATTATTAAAAGTAATAATTTAAAGGTCTTCTCTCCTTACACTTAAATATTTAAAAATTTAATTTTTAGTTAAAATCTTTAAAATTAATTTGCTTCTTATCTTCCTAATAATAATACCCCGCTGCTTATTTTTAAATGTACGGGTAGTCATCGCAATCACTGCGATTTTTTAATTTTTGTATTTAAACTTAATAAAAATAGTAAATATTCAGAATTTAATTTTTAAATTGTTAATAAAAATTTAATTCTTCTAAATTCTGAATCTTTGCTTTAAAAAACTCATAATTTCTCCACTGCTTAATTATTTTGTAATAGATATGTATAAAATTTAAATATTTTGTTTTAATTTTTAAGAATACAAATCTGTGTAGGCAGATAAAAGAAATTAAATTTTTTATTAGGAGGATTTGGCGGGATTAATCATAGTATCTCCCTCAAAAATTAGGGGAGATACCTATAGATTTGAACGGATTAAAGGGGCAGAGGCCCAGTGATTAGATAAATATTCATTTATAAAATAAAACAATATCAAAACATTATTTGGTTCATTCCAGAGTTTAAAATTTTCAAAAAATTTTCGATCCTTATGCCAAGAATTCCAGAATTCTCGGTCTAAATAAACCAAACTTTAAATTTTTACTAATCATTTAAATTAGCCAAAAAATAAGTAATAAATAATTTATTAAAAGCAAAATAAATTTAAAAGCAAAACAAAAGTGATAAAATGGAAAAAAATCCCGCTTCGCAGAAGTGCACTTTTTCTAATTTTAAATTGACTAAAATTCGTAATTATTAATTTATTTATTCTTTGCTGTTTTTGTGGCATCTAACTTTCTTAAATGTTGAAGTGCTCGTTTAGCAGCTGTACATTTAGCAATTCGATAACTCCTTCCCATCCCAGTAAATTGGAGATTATCATTAACCGTTACAGTAACTCTAACTTTGCCTGTTTCTAATTTTCGTTCCAATTTTCTAAAAATTTATAACAACAAAATTAATGATTTAAAAAATATAAACTCACGAGAATTTAGCTCGACAATTCTTTCTCTCAAATAATTCTCTAACAGGCGATTGTGGTGGATTTTCACAACATTTTTGTATAACATCTCTCATTAAATTATAAAATACACGCCAAACAATATCTAAATCCATTCCACAATCCAAATAAACAGCACCAGCAATTGATTCAAAAATATCACCCATCGCTTTAGGTACCTCTACATCTTCTTCACTTAAAAGGTCTTCCTCATCAATTTCATCTTCAGTTAACATAAATATCTTTAAAAATTATTTTAAATTAAAAAAATTATTTAGAAACTTTACTTCATCGTCAAAATTCGCGCAATGAAGAAAATCTTTTTGTTTACAGAAATTAACAAACTTTTCGACCATTTGATAAAGTGGAGGACAAATCATAACAAAATGCTAAATATAAATTTAGAAAAATACTTTTAATAGAAAAAACTTTGTGGAAAGAATATTTAACTGCAAGCGAAGCAAAAATTGTGTTATTGACAAGAGCGGAGCTGAAAATTGAAATAATAATTTAAATTATAGTAAATAAATTAACCGAAGATCAGTAAGAACACCCGGACTATATTGCTTCTTGTGTTCATAAAGAAAACGAGTTATCATATAATCTAAAACAGCATCGCCAAGAAATTCCAAACGCTAAAATTAATTGTTTTTTGATAGAAAATTATTTTTGGCAAACTTGGTAACAACCGGTTACTCGATTGTTATAATATGAAGCGTGAGTAAATGCTTGAACTAAATATGCCTATACAAAAATAATAATTTTAATTTTTATATTGCTATTAGGCCTGACCTTATTTGCAAATTTATAACCAATATTGTTCTCAACAGTGGCAAAATCAAATTTCTCATAAAGAAGGGCAAGATGTTTGAGTGAAAGATTAGGCTATATTTTAAAAAATAATAAAAATTAAAATAATATAATTTTTATTTACATCTTCAGGTGTGTCAATGAAACGAAGAAGTGGTGAGGGCAATGAAGAAATATCAGTTAGAACCTAAAAAATTATCTTTAGATAATTTAAGTTATAAATTTAATTTTACCTTAATTCCCAACCAATTCATAAATTTGAGAGTAGCTGATTGTCCAAGTTGAATTAAATGTGCTCCAATCAATGCCTCTACCGCATCAGCAATTGATTTGTCACTTATCCATTGTTGAGTTAGCATATTATATGGCATTGGAGGTAAGTCTGGAATTTCTGATTTTGTTGGCTACAAAAGAAATAATATTTTTTAGATAAATGGAAATAAAAATACTTGAGGAAAAGTTAAAGTTTCTACTCCATTTTCACGTTTATAATTCTGTTTATCATCGTCCAGAGTACCCCACCCAGTTGTTATTGCTTCTTTATTAATCTTTTGCTGTTGATCTACAGTTTCATTAGTATCAACACCCTCCATTGGCACTTCACGTTGATCTTCATCTAAATCTGTATAATCAAAAGGATTGACAGCATGAAATTCTGAAGTAGAAGCATAACAAGGAGGAAGCCAGTTAACATGTGGATCGAATTTTAGTGTTTCTATTAGAAGAGGGATGCCTCGTTGTCGTCCAAGATAAAAAAGATGAGAATTCGAAACCTAAAATAAATTCAAAAATTTTGTATTATGTATGTATATATTATCCAAATTACTTCTTTAGAACGAGCATAGCTTAACTTTCCTTCATGTTGTTCAGTGTGTTTATAGTAGAAATAGTTAGTGACAGCCATTTTGAGAAAGGAATCTCCAATTGTTTCTAATCTTTCCAAATTTATTCCATCCGCAGCACTCGAAGTTGTCAATGCTAAAATAAAAAATAATTTTGGGAACAGTTCAACAGTATACCTTGAAGCAGTAGAGCTGGTGAAACACCATAGGGATTCTGATCAAGTAAGTTCCACATAAAAGAAAAAGGCATCCATTTAAGTTCAGGTGCCATTATTTTAAAGTTCTAAAATAAAATTTAAGAAATATAAAAATAGTCTAAAATTATAAAATAATTATTTTAATTTTTAAATAATATTTTATCACTTGTTTTTCAAGATCTCTCAAATCACGCGTAGGGCTAATAGAATCGGCACTTTTTGTTGGGATGATTTTATTCGTTTCTTAAATATAAAAATAATCAAAATTTGTCAAAAGAGAATAAATATTAACACCTTCACTGCTAATATTCTCTCCTATCTCAGCTTCATCCATTCCCCAAAAAACTTCCTCAGGTAAAATATCTTCATTTTGCCTTTTTACCGACTGATCATTAGGGTCGATGTTATTCAACGAATCTAGATTAAGCTAAAACATATGTTAGATTGTTAATAAAATATGTTAAGAGGGCCTCCTTTCTTTGCAAGACCGTTTTGTCTACAGCAGTGGTACTCGGAGTGACAGGTGTATTCGTTTTATTATTATTCGAAATATGGTTTGAAGTTCCAAAAGCAGCATAATTTTTTTCCAAATCATTCATTAAACTTGCAATATTAATATGAGGATTATTTGTCGATATTGTCTGTAAAAGAAATTTTTATATCGTTAAGTCTATATTACCAATGGAAGACTTTCATTTTCAATTTGGATAACATTGGCATTGCTATCGTCATTCCACCCAGCAGGTCGAACATCCATTTCACCAAGATCACCAATATCACTTGCTTAAATAAAAATTTTATTTTTTTTTTTCATTTGCTATCCAAAAAACAAACTAGTCATTTTATTGTCCATCAAAAATTTAAATTTATCATATTCCGCTGCAACATCATCATCATCAGAAATATCTCCATAATTATGAAGTGTTGTATCATTACCGACAGCAATAATTTCAGAGAGCTCCTCGTCTCTAGCAGCTATAACTCCACGGAGACCATTCCTCCGCCCAGGGATTAATCCATTTACAGGTGCATTGTGAATTACTGGGGAAGGTTCACTCAATGTATTATCATTGTTAGACATTTGTGCGCCATCTGAAGGGTCCCAAACACCGATTTCGAAATCATTCTGTGAATATTTGAAAAAAATAAAAATATTTCAGGAAAAACTAGAATAAATAATTAAATACAAAATTCCTGTTATTGAAAATTATTATTTTTATATTTCACCAAATATTTTTTTGCCAATGTTATCCAAATTGAAAACGAAAGTCTTTCCATGGTAATATAAACTTAACGCTTAAAATTATCTTTTACAGACAATATCGACTTGGAGGAAAATTATGCAGCTTTTGGTACTTCCAATTATATTTCGAATAATAATAAAACGAATTATTACTTATTCTATTTCACCATGTTTATAAAATGGTAATGGATATGTTAATTGCTATGAAAGTTTACCTAATTATTCTAATTTAAAAATCTCTTTAAATTAAAACTTTGTTTTTGTTATTAAATTTTTTAATTCACCCACCATTCCAGTAGCTGCTGTCTCATTCACATTCTCTTCAATAATATCAAGCTCCATTGGTACTTCATTTTCCTTCTCTTGTTTATTCATTTTTCTCAACTGATCTAAATTTTTTATACTTTTTTGTGTCAGATCATCATTTAAAGTGACATATTGAAGAGGACTCCATTCAAAATCGTCGGGTGTTTGTGAATTAATTTTCAAAGCATCCTCAAGAACTTTGCTACGAAATTCATCAGCAAGCAGTAAAGAATTAAGTCTTAAATTTAATCTGTTGACTGAATAATTGGAAATAGAATTCAAACCTATAAAGAATTGTAGGAAGAGTAACAATAATTGACCAAAGAGTTGCAGAAAGAGGATGTATATGTACCAATTCTGGAACAAGAATTTGACGTTGAGATGGGTCTAGTGAACGAGTAGCTGATTTTCCAGTTATTGCTCGTGGTAATAAAAGATCTAAAAAATTTCATAGTAAAAACTGCCTTAAGCCCTTTCAGATTTATGTTAAACAAATTAATATTCTCTTACTCATTCTAGCAGATGTATGGTCAACATCAAGTAAATTTTGTTTTTGATTGTAGATCTCCAATTGATACTTACTCATAAAGTATTGATTGAAACAAGTAAATTTTTCATCAGGAAATGAAGAAGACGGAAATTGATCAGTCAATATCTGAATTAACAAAATTTTATCAAACTTACAAAAAATGTTTTTACCTCAGCTACGTAATAAAAAGCAGACTGATCTTCAGAACGATACCTAAAAGAAAATAACAAAATGTCATCAAATATTTATATTCTTATACCAAGGTGAAACAACAGCATTTAAGTAGTTTGATTCTCCAAAAGAAAATTGTTTTCTAATTTCATCTGAAGGTGTAGTTGGAGATTCACGGATATTCCAATTAAGGTAATACTTGTCAATTTCATAATCCAAATCGGCAGTGCTTACTAAAATTCAATTAAATTATAAAATTGTTAAAACGATACATTTTTTCAAAGGAACAATTAAAAGTGGTATTGGAGAATGACCAGGTGCAAAAACAACACCACCACGGGCAACACGCAAAATATCTTCAAAGATGTGCTGATGAAAGAGGTAAATAAGTTGTAAAAGTTCAAAAGTGGGACGAAATTGCTGATTTTTTACTTTTCGAATTTGCACAAGCATTTCGCCATTCCGTTGAAAAACTGGAAATCCTGGAACCTGAAAAAATTTTTTAATAAAAAATATGAAAATGTGGGCTATCTTTGATAATATTTTTAAAATAATAATTGTTCTCGACCTTCGGAAGCTCCTTCGAAGACAAAAATCCAAATGCAGAATTTGATTCGAACGGATCAATAATTTTTCTCCTCTTTGGATTTCCTTCATCAGTAACGGGCTTAACCAGTTTCATTTCCATAACGTAAAGAATGCATTCACTGTCTTGCGAAGGTAATGTAGAATTAAGAGTTTTCGACATCTATAAATACATATTAAATATAAACACACAATTTTGCCAAAGAGTTGTAAAATATAAAAACGGAAACAGTTATGTAATATCAAACACAACTCCAATATTATTTTCATCTCGATTTTAGCTTACTTTTCTATCGTAGAGACGTTTTTTCTTTGAGGATCCCATTCTGCTTGGTAAATGAGGCAGATATTCGTCATCATCTACTTCACCTAAAAGATCATCCAAGATATCTTTTCCTGCAGGCAAAAGATTGTCATTTAATTCTTTTCTTTGATGTAATCGTTTGCAAGCCTTTCAAAACAATTATTTAAATTACTTTTAAAAATTTTTAAAAAACCTCCAAAGCAACTGCCATTAAAGATAATCTTTTAGAAGTCATCGGTTTAGATTTTATTGGCTCCTTTATTGGTGAATTGATTGGAAGATATAATTCGGCAATATACAAAGTTTGCCCATTTTCTGATAAAGTTTGTATCGTATAACGTGGGACTAACCGAGTAAAAATATCAGATGGTAATTTTGCACAGTATCTTTAAGAATTACAATAAATTAATAAATTTTAGCATCCCTTTTTCAAAAAACTTAGCAACTTTAGCTGTCCCTTTTTCAGTTTTATCTTTGAATCGTAAAACATTTTTTCGAAATTTTACAAAGAAAATTTTACATTCAGTTAGTCTTTTTTATGATTAAAATTATAATATTACAAACCTATTCACCAATTGTATAGCATTACTTAATGAGACTTTAGCTGTCCCTTTTTCAGTTGTAACAACGTAAGGAGCAACAGCATCATCCAGATGTGGTTGTATCATTTTTGTTTCATCATTTCCTTCCAAAGTAAAATCATTGCCAGAACGATAACGTCGCAAAACAAACTTAAATTTAATTGAAAAAATATACAAAACATCAATTAAAAACCTCTTCTGCTTGTGCATATCCTGTTAAGTCCATCATAAAATCCAAATAATTTTTCTCTTCAATAAGTATATAAAAAGCGCTATTTTCCCTTCGAGCACGACCGCTAGACTACAAACATTATTTTATTTAGTTTAAAGATTTAAGAATTTACTTGAATAAATGACCGAAAATCCATCGGCGGATCAAATCGAATAACCAAATTACAATTTCTCAGATCAATGCCTTCCTCTAAAACATTCGTTGTTATCAATAAATTCAGTTGCCCATTCCGGAATTGTGTAAGAGTTCGTTCCTGTTTTCGATTAACCAAACGCCTATCCTCATCTCCTGTCTCAGAATTTCCAGTGTGTCCAACAATAAAGTCCACTTTTAAATGTCCAAACTCTTCAGGATTTTGTTTTACAAGAAAACGAAGTAAATTCTAAAAATTGGATAGAAGTGAGAATGTAAAAAATAATTCACATTAATCATAAAAGCAATAAATCGTTCTTTCACAAAAACCAATCCAAAAAGTGTATCTTTAATTCCAGACAATTCACGTTTTGAGGGCGAATAACTTTTTAATATTTCCAACAATTTGCGCACTCTGTCACTGATATATGATTTATTTACGTTACCCAATTTGTCATAGCTGTTTAATGGATTTATCTTAAAAAATAAACTTCTATATAAAATAATCAATGTTCACATACTTTGTGACTTAAAACTTTTGAACAAGTTCTAAAAGCAGTCTCAGCCATTCTTAAAATACATTTTTGTTTATTGCCAATTGTCGGGTCATCAACATGTTTAAGTAAATTCTTTTGCCAAAGGATAAAACCTTTTAGAGCTGCCCAGCTACCAACTTGTTGAAGAGTTGAAAATGAACGGGAGATTGTCTTAATTATAAAAATAAATTTTAATTTTATGGTAAAAACTTCATAAATTTTGCGACGTGGATCAACTTCAAGTTCTGAATGAAAATCTTCATTCTTTTCAATAAATGAACGAAGACGTTCCTTAAATTAAGAATGAATTAATTTTATTTATTAATTAAATTCATAAAATTTAAAGAGAACAACATAATTTTTATTGGAAGTTAAGTGTAATTTATCTTAATTTAAAATTCTAAATAACATAAGTGTACCAATAAGTCAACTACAAATTTTTCATTTGTACAATCATCCTTTGTACAAACAATAAATTGCTTTGGTTTTGTAACATATTTGCATATCTTTAATAAAAATTTATTTTTAAACAAAATACTATCTAAAAATTCTACCTGTGTATAATTGCTGGAAGTTTCTATCTGTGAATCCATTATTTGTTCTAACAGCTGAGCAGTGCATTCAATGCGAGAGGATGGCACTTTTTTATTCAGAATTGAAGCTGTAAGGCCCAAAACGCGTGGTCGTTGACCTTTATTGAGAAATTACTTTAAAAACAAAAAAGGAGGTCTTATCCAAATACCTTGCAGTTTCTTGTAATGATTCATAATCAGCCTATACGGATGCAGTTCTCCCAAGCAATGATGGCATTCATCAACAATCAACAAGGCCAAAGAAGAGAAATCGAATAACTGTTTATAAATAAATAATAGGAAAAAATTCTTTAAAAATTTATTACCCCGTGATTGATCAAATCAAGAAACACTTGAGCTGTAATTACAATCACCTTTAAAACAAGAAAATATACTAGACTTTAATAATACATGACTTGCCTGATTGCTGCTAGTAATTTTCTCAACTTCTTTTCTCTCATATTTTCTTTTAATTGTAGAACCAGAAATACGGGCGACAGACAAACTCGAATGAAATTCAATGTGCTCAGCTTGCTGGGCAACAAGTTCAACTAAAGCAGTCTAATTATTAGAAATCAAAAAATGTTAATTACAAACCAGTATTGACCAAAAACACAGCTTTTTCATTTTGATGTAACAACCTCTGAGAATATTCTTTTATTAAAAGAACCGCCACAAATGTTTTTCCACTACCAGTACCGAGCGAAATAATCGTGTTTTGAATTTTTGCACGATCAAGTAATTCAACCTTGAAATTAAATTAAACTATGCAAAAAAGTAGAATAAATACCTGATAATCTCTTGGAGGAATACATTTAGCACTAAAATCCTTCGGTGGAGACATTCTAAATTATTTTAATAATTTAATAACTCATAAAACTAAGGTAAGTAATTAAATGATTCAAACCATAATGTTTGTACTAAAAATGAAAAAATCTTTTTTTTATTTAAGTAGCAAAATAATATTTAATGTTAATAAATAGCGAATTTGAAAAGTAAATAATTGAGTAATTCTAAAGAGACCGGAATTTTAAAATGTTATGTAAAAAGTAAAATTATATAGTTTCGTTGTCAACTTCCTCATATTGTATTCTCTGTCTCTCATTTTCCAATTTTTTCTTTTCCTCAATAAGTGCATTTAAAATTGGTTTAAGACGGTTAACATTATCTCCAGTAGTTTGAGAAACTTCTATTTGATTTTCAGCAGTTGTAGCAACGTTTCCATCCGAATTTTGGAAAGAAACAGATTTATTTGTTTGTAATTGTAGAGAGAATTCCCCTTTCATTGTAGATATTACATGCCTAAAGAGAAAATTGAAATTTAAGAATTAGAAAAAGGGCTATTCACTTTGATTTTTCTAAAAGATGTTTTGGTGGCTCCAACATTTGAAGCAATGCTCGTTTATCTTCATAAGAAAGTTCTACTGGCTTTCCTGGATTTAATGCCTTCTCACGTAAAGTCATACACTTGAATATTATTCATTTAAATATTCCCATTAAAAAACAAAATACTCACCTGATGTTGAATACGAGGGTCATGAACACTACGTTTCTTCAATAGCTCATTACCACTGAAAAGATAAATTTGGATTTATTTAGAAAAATTAACTTCCTTACCCATCAGAATCACAAAGCATCAAATTATTAATATATTCGTCTATTAAATCTTTTTGGTAATCTAAAAATTATTTGTATTTTAGAAACAATTTAGATTTATTTGCCTGTAATTTCTTCTGAAAGTATTAAAGGAAAGTCAAAATAACGAAAATCATCACGAAATGGCATTAGATAATGGATAAGAATCTTAATAGGATTAAAAATTAAAATTGTGACAATTCTCACTGGATAGTTTTCCTTTTTTGTGATTTTTGGAATAAGACAAGATAGACGCGGATTAGACGCAACATTATAAGCATAACGGCATAAAGCAACAACTCCCTTTTTTAACATTGCATTTACAATCGCAGAAAGTGTATTAAACGATTTCTAAAAAATAATTGGAAAAAAAATAAAAATAATTAAAATTTACTAGATCAGCTTCTCGTGTAGCTACACTCCCTTTTCCATCTTTATGTGGAAGAATGTATCGTGGACTACTAACAAGAAATTGAGGAAGAATCTGAAATTCTTTCAAATTTAATTAAATTTTTTTTAAAAATACATTTTCTTTTCTAGCAAATTGAATGAGCTGAAGTTGCTTGCCTTCACGCGGAACATCAGACATCATCTGTATTGCTTTGTCAAAAGTGACAATTGTAGAACCATAACGATAACCTAAAATTTTTAATATTAACTGAATAAATAATAATTTAAAAATGTAGAAAATTAACCTCTAACAATATCCTCTTTTTGCACCAATTTACCAGAAGGCATACTACTCAAAGCTTTATTTATAGTGCTTGTACTAGTAAAGGAAATATCGGGAGTAGAATCAATAGCTGCTAATGGAATACTTGTTTCATGATCTGCTACTGTTTCATAACGTCTAATCTTTTTTAATATTTGAGGTTGTTCAAGTCTATCAGCAGTAGAAGTAGAAGAGAAGGAAACAGGATCAAAACGTTCTTGTAACACAACCTCTTGATTTTTAACATACAATTGTACACGAACTGAAAAATCTTTTCCCAATTCAAGATTGAAAGGCTGCCCTCTTGGTGTAAGCGATTTTGGAATGAAAAATTTCAGTTTGGATAGACTTTCCCTGTAAATAATTTTTTAATTTAATAATTATTTTTAGGTCCCTGATTCGTCAAAAAAATTTTTAACTCACTGAAAATTGTAAGAAAGAACATCCATCTTCGGGAGCAAACTACGAACAAACTCAATCCCGAGCTGTTGGGATTTAAATATTGAAGAGCTATTTAAGTCAGGACCACTAAATTTTCAATAAATCATTATTTTATTCTGTAACTGGTACATGATAAGCAATTTAGCTCCAACTGTATTGAATGCCTCTACAACTGAATCCAAGACCTCAAAAACCTTAAAGCGACAAATACTTATATTTAATGTAAAATATATTTAAAGAACCTGATCATCTTCATTTAATCCCCCAAAATTACTAATTAATGTAACTGTTGCTTCAGTTATTCCATCCTTACCAACCTCCCCATGAATTTTCAATTGTTCCAATGAAGCAAAAAGTGCGGCCAAATCTTTAAAAAATCACAAAAGATATAAATTTAAAATACTACGACAAACAATCGCCTGGGCATTTCGGATTTGTTTGAACCTCGTTTTTGAATACTTGCAGCCATTCAACGCGAGCACGCTCAAATTCAACATTATGTACGTAGACATTTGAGTAGTTATCATCAGTTGTGCATTCGTGACCAAAAAACACCAAGGAAAACTGATCTTTAGAATCGGTGAAGAGCTTAATCATTCATTTTAAAATAGCGAATATAAAAAAAATGCGCTTCAAGAATATGAATTCTCAAAAGCATCAAAACTCAAAAAAATGTTAAAATTACCTTACGAGAGATAATCCAATCAGCAATTTGAAGCGATCTTTGCAAGTCAGATTCCGTTTCATCGGGGACTGACTTAAACGAAGACGTAGAGCCAACATCAATCGCGAGAACTATTGCTGCATGTCCTTGCCTTGGGGTTGCTCGTTTGCGTTGTACTTTAGGTTCAGCTTCACTAGATGGACCTTCCGAACTATGCAACACATCAGACTCAGAATCTGCATTTTCTGTACTTCTTTTCTTCGGCGGCATTTATCTTTAGAAAAAATTATATAATACACAACTTTAAAAATAATTAAAATATGTATTATATAAATTAAAATTAGTATAGAATAATAATTATAACAAGAAAATAAATTTATTAAATAACAAAAATAAAACAGAAAAATAATACTTGTTCAATTAGATTTTAAAATTCTATATTACTTTTTGGCAATAATTGATCAAGTAACCAATTAAACAAAAATATAATAAACATATTTAAAATCTATCAAATATTGTGTGGTTGAGGTTTAACCATAGAACGTCTCGGACGTCGCATTATACTGCCATAAGAGAACATATGCCGCAATCTTTTCCTATGAGGAAGACCTAGCTCTGGATTTACTTTGTTTTGGTAGAAACGAGCCATATCTACTGGATCTAATGGATCTTGAGCCAATTCCTCGGGAGAGTACAGTCCAACGTCTGTGCTAAAAAGAAAAATTAAAAAATAACTTTTTATTTAAGTTCATTCAACAAAAAATAGAGGCAACTTACTCCTCAGCAACAATGTCCATTAAACTGTGATTTGCTTTTTGTGCCTTCTCAAAACGCAACTCATAAACATTCTCAAATTTGAAGGGAAAAACGCGTGGTTCATCAAGAACTTTCCAAAGTCTTAGAAGTGCATTCTGTGAAGCCAAATCAAGTGCTACCCATGGCTGTTCACCAGCAGCTATAATCAGAAAAAATAAAAACATTTAAAAAATGTATATTTACATTGTCCGAGAATTCTCTCCTTATTAGCGTAAATGCCAATTTCGTAATAAGGCATAGCAGTAGACAACCCACCAGAATTTATAAAACGAGGTTCAATATCAACAATCTAAAATAAATAAATATTAAAAAAATTTAAGGTTTAAAATACATTCTCCCATCTATTCATATAATCCTGAAGAATTTTAAAAGGTTGTCGAAAAGGAAGAACATCTTCTATTGGAACTTCACATAAACGTGGAAGTACAAAATTTCGAATAAAGTTTCGGGCCTTTGTTACATCAATTGAAGCAAGTAAGGCAAGAAGAGCTGTCTGAAGTGTCTCTTCAGATGGTGGAAATTCGCCAGTACGAACAAGATGCTGAATTCCCAAATGATTAATTATTTGAGCGAGGACTTCGTTTGAAGCCAAATGCATTGCAACGGCAATTATGAACTCCTAAAAGAATAAATAAACCATAATTGTATAAAATAACCTCTGGTGCCAAAGGCCAATGAGCTCGCAGATAAGAAAGTAAGATGTGCCTAAAAAGGACTTCGCCTTAAATCATAAAAAATAATTATTTTTATCAAACTTAAGAACCTTTTTCTCGAAGATCCTCATTGCTTTCGTTTTTCATAATTTGTATTTCTTCGTCCATTGATGGCTGAGGATACAAGGCACCTTCTTCAACATCTTTTCGTTCGAAAAAACTTTTGTTTGTGAGTGCCTTGACAATTGATTCATGGTCAAGTTCAGAAATTCCAAGTCTATGAGAAAATGCGAATATTTCTGACGAATAATTCCTAAAAGATTTAAGAGAAACTTTTAAAAAATTGAGATTTATATAAGGAACAATCATAAAATTACCAATTGTCCCTGGCTGATCGACTCACGAGAGGTTCAGGGCCAGCCATGATACGCCTGTTATACAAATCCTTCAAGTATGGACGCATCCATCGCCTACGAACATGCAGACAACGAACTAAAATTTAGAATTTTAAATCGAGTAAATAGGAATTAATTTACCTGCTGTCAGATTATGAACAGTGGCCAAAGCACCAATATTGGCCAACAAATTAAATCTTGAAAAAGACATAACTAGGAAAATTAGATCTGATTAAATGAGAAAGCTATAAAATATCTTGAAATCTAAATTAGGTATTATCATAAATTTTTGTTTATATAACTAAACGTTGTTTAAGAAAATTTTAACAAATTATAAATTTTTATTTCTTCTTTCAAAAATAGCAATAAAAAATCCGTTAGTAAAATCAATTTTTGGAGAAGCTCGCATACATTTCGAAACTATTTCTTCTGCCGCTTCTTTACTAAAATTTTTATTATTGAAGGTCTTATTCAATTCTCCTCTGTGCTTCCATTGATTAAATGCATTTACCAAAATAAACTGGTCACTAATCTCAACATCCTCTAAAACCTCAAAAATAACACCTTCATTTTCAGCCCAATTAATTGAACAAGTTGAGTAAACTAGTCGACGTAGCGAAGGTAAACGAAGTGCATGTTTTAAAATCATTGCCTGTAAAATTTAATTTAAAAAGAAAACGAGAAGCTTAAAAACCTGTAGATTAGCTAAAGATTTAATTCGTTCAGTATCTGGTTGTTCAAATTCATCAAAAAATTCACCACGTTTTACCATTCCTGAACCTGAACATGGTGGATCAACGAGTGCATATTCCACCTTTATTGAATTATTTAAATAAAAATAAATTAAAAATACCTGTGTGAATTTGTTAACATCAACTTGTAAAAAATCAATACATTGTGCTTGAATAATACGTGCATTTGCATTTTTAGACATTTTTCGTAATAAATTAAGTCTTTCAGCGTTTCGATCAAATGCAAAAATTTTGCTAAAATTTAAGATAGTAGATAACAAGGATTAGAAAATCACCCGTTATTTTTCATTAAAGCTGCCAAATGCGTAGTCTTCATTCCGGGTGCTGCACAAACATCCATTACAAAAGAACCTGGTTGTGGAGATAACAAAAAAGCAGGGAAACAACTTGCCTGAATTATATTAAATATAAAAATTTATAGATCAAATTACTTTGTCTTGAAGGATTAAAACTCCTTGCTTCACCAAAATATGGTCGTGCAGATCGGTCCCACGGGGAAAAATCAAAAGATTGTCAATATGTGGATCAATGTAGCATTTTAATGGCTCGAGTTTAGCAACAAGTTTACGGTACTTTAATGGGGGAATCATCTTTTTCAAACGACGCACTGTCCAGCCTTGATCTTTTAGTAAATCCAAAACATAAGGTAGTTGCTCTTTCAAAGGATTCACGCGTGCATACCGCGGGAGCAATGATGCTTCACTTTGCACAATTAAATGATCGACAGAACCTTTATGTTCCAGGCTGGCTATCTGAAAAAGCAAAAAAAAATTTAAAACAAAAATGAGTTTTGATTTTGAGAATAGTTAACAGAATTCGTAGAAATGTCGAGAATCTTTGACAAAAAAACAAAGACTTTCAACTTTAAAAATTATCTCTTACCTCTTCTGACAGTAGAGTTCTAAAGTAGCATTCATTCTTTCCTTGATGATCATTTCCATCTCTTTTCATTCCTAAACGTCCAAAAGTAAACTCATAAAGTAGAAACAATGCTTCATCACATGTAATCGTTGGCCAAGTTTTTAACAAATAATTTAAAACTGAATGTTGTTTATATAGTTTAAGAAGCAAAGGGCGATACTTCGCAACTTCACAGCAAAGTTTGAGCAACTTTCTTTTATTCTGAAATTAATTTAATTATTTTAGTAAATTTTGAATAGTTAAATATCCCCAAAGGTATAAATGTATAAAAAAATATATTGTAAAAAGTATATCAATCAAACTTAAAAAAATCAAGATAAGAATGAAAAACAATAACCAACAAATTTTAAATGGAACAAGAGAAAATAAGAATAAACAAAAGACAAAAAAATTTAAAAGTGCACAAAAAGTTATCTCTCGTCATCCAGGTTTCAAATATTTACATTGTACCCATCTCCTGTACCTAAAATGTTTTTGTACTTAATGGTTTATTAGATTTAATTTTTTTAAGTACCCAAAAAATTCTGATAAAAATATTCTAGACGATTTTCAATGATTTTTTGTTATATTTTAATTTGCAATATTTTAATAGATTTTTACATTGTAAGCTTCTTGGCTCGATTAACTACCAGACGTTTTTCCATTATATTTTGAATCCGTTCTAATCCAACTTGAGTAAAAAATTCGTGCAACTCCTCTGTAGTGAAGTATGATACAAAGGTTCCATCACCACGACGATAAAAATTTTCGTCAATAAAGCGGTCACGTTTAAAACGCAATTGTGTTAAATCATAACGACCATAGTCCTTTACCATTAAAATTCCACCCGGCTTCAAAAGACGAACTAAGTTTAATATGGCTAGTTTCAGACGACTTGGTGCTATTGCAGAAAGAACAAAAACGCATAGAATATAGTCAAGTGATTCTTCAGGGATCTAAAAAATATTTTTCTAAAAAATATTCTTTTTCAATTGCTAACTTGATCCGTATTTTCAGTGATATCCCAAACAAACGGAAGACATCGATTAGCAGGAACGCGGTTATCGGAACGTAGTAATTCAACTGCTTTTTTAGAGTAATCACAGCAATATATGAACAAATTTGAATCATTTGTTGCCTGAATAATTGGAATTGTAGTGTTCCCGACTCCACAACCAACATCCAAAATGCGAATTGGCCCAGCAGACTTCTGAACGTGAATTTTTTAAACGACATTGGAATATTGAAGATACCTCGCTAAACAACTCAGAGAACTCGCGGATTACCCATTTTCTGTTCATGAAGAATTTATTCCCATGTGAAAGATAAAATGACTCCCATTGCTTATTTGGTGTATCAAGAAGATCAGCTACGATTTTATCATCAACACGATGTGATTGTTGCAGTTCAATCGTATTCTTTATTTCTTCCTCTTTTTCAACAGGCCAATCGACATCATCCCATGCATTATATTCGAAGACACGAGTTTCGTCATTGAGAAAACGTTGCCCGAATATAGATTCCTTATCCAAATCCACATCTTGTTTTTCGTTAGAAATTTTGCAATCCATTAGACTAAAATGGACAATTTCAGAAAGTATATTGAGAAAAATAAGAGTCAATAGAACCCATCCCTCACGCACAATTTTTAAAATATCTTTAAAATTCTAAAAAATACCTTTAATTTGCTTGAATAGATGAACTGTCTGACACTGCCTTGTTTGTTCAATGCTCTGTTTAAAATAATTGCAGCTTCTTTAAAGTATGGTGATAATTGATAAACCATGAACTTAAATCAATTAAACATAAATAAGATAAAAATCTAAAAAAGGTAAATAGAGATAACGACTTATAAATAATTGCAATTATTTTTTGTTTATTACATTTATAAAAAAATATGAAAACAAAATATGAGAATGAAAGAAAAAGTTAAAAAATGTCATGGGCTACTTCTGGCAATGAAACTGGTTTATTATTTTCTTCTTGTTGAAGCTTAATTTTCTGACAAAGTGAAGTCAATGGAACATCCTTAACATAGAAATAAAATATAATTGAATAAAGTGCTTTATAAAAATACCAGGTGATGATTCTTCTCATGAAAAATAACAACAGCTTTTGTATTTGAACTGTAATCACATATGCTGCAACTAAAAATATCTTTTTGGTTTGGTTGATGATGCTCCATATGAAGAGAAAATGCTTGTAAACTATCACCTTAATTATAAAATAACGATCAGAAAATTTACTTAAATTTACATTTGAATGAACATTTTGAGCAAAAGTGCTGTCTATCAGAACGGGCACTTCGTGAAAATCTTGTTTTATTTTCTTTTACTAAAACATTGTCATTAGCGGACCGTTTGATGATAGTCATAAGGCGTTGTTGTAAAAGCTAAATTTAAATTAGACTTATTTATTGCTATAAAGGCGCATATAAATACAATTTTAAATAAATTTTTTTTAATAAAATTATCAAAATGAAATTATAAAACCTGAACATGCTCCTTTCGGTGTAGTAGAAAGGAGTCTAATTCAATACACTTGAAGTTGCAATGAGAGCATTGATAAGGATTGCTAGATGTTTTAAATTGATCGTCATTTCTATCAACATTTTTAGAAGTAAAAGAACGAGAATGAAGAGATAAATGAGAGTGTAGAGATTCAGCAGAAAAACAACGAAATGTGCAGAGATTACATGAATATGGCCGGATTCCACTTCTTTTATGCATTTGAATATGCAATTTAAGCAAAACTTTATCGCATGTTTCTAAAAAGGATAAAAAATTTTAAAAATCATGTTTTTTACTACAAAAACAATAAGGAACTAAAATTCTTAAAAAATAAAAAAATCCTCACTATACGGGCATTCACTGCAAGATCCTGCGGTATTTTTAAACGAAGCAGAATTAGAAGATGAAGAGTCTAAATATCAAATTAGGTATATTATAATTAAGTAAAAATAATATGAATAAAAAATCAGAATCGTTTTCTTTAAAAGACAATATAAAAACTCACCATTTTCTTTGACTAAATGTGCATTCCTTAAGTGTGCAACAACAGGTATAATTGCCCCAAATTGCTCTTGAAATTTCTGCTTCTTAAATATTGGTAAATCTTCAGATTTCAATTGATCCAAAGAAGTAGAAGATGATGATACATTATTGGCATCGTCTTCTGGTACTTCTATATTGTCTCCATTCATTCCAATTGCTTCAAACTTAACATTATTCGTTGCTTTATCAACTGCCTCTTCAGATTCAATTTTTAAAATTCCGTGCAATTTAGAATGTTCAATGTAACATTGAATAGAGCCAGAACTGAATGAACACAGTGAACAAGCAAATCGATTAGTTCTTTTATGCTTTTGACGATGATTCCAAAATTTTGCGTAATTGGCTGTAGAATAAGGGCATTCTCTAAAATAATAAAGAAACTGAATTATAAGTTAAAATTAAAAAGAAAATCACCTGCAGTTGAAGACTCCTCCAACAGACCGCACATTTTTGCATCCATCATTTTGGTGAACTGCCTCATGATCACGCATCCTCATCTCAAGTGATGTACGAAAACCACAAATAGTACATCTTATTAGGTTTTTGGTTCGAGCGACGATTTCATTCTTCTTTTTCCACCAAGCCAAATGATGATGACGAGAATGTTGCACAAGTTCTGCACAAAATGCAAATTCTGCTCCACATTCAACGATAGAACAACGATAAAAATGCCAACCACTGCGCAAAATGCGCATACGCCAACCCAGATGAGCACTACGCTCGCCATTCTCTTTCGCATAAATCCATTTCACCCGTCGACACGCACCTTTATCTGTGAGGTTTATTTGATGGAGTTTTTCATGTGAAATAAGAGCATTCTGTCTAAAGTGTCGAAATTTTTCGATAAATCTAAAGTTAAAAATATACCTCATTGTACTGTATGTGCAGTGACGACACGCAAATTTACGCCGTTCAACGTGCATCTAAAGAGAAATACCTACAATTTTATACGAAACTAAAATTTGTTAACTTTAAGATGTGCTTTCATATCGCAATTATGTTTCGATTTGTATGGACAATGTGGGCAAAAGTTAGTTCTCCTAGAGGATGACGGGTCCTCTCGATGAAAGTTATCTGAAGGCATTTGTTGATTTTCATAAGATGAAGTGCAGGCTTCTGGAAATCGAAAAGAGGAAAGTGAAGTTGTTGAAGAGGACGTTGGTTCTACTTCATGAAGGCGAGAATGTTGCATAAGTATGTGCATGGAGCGGCATGAGTATGAACATTGTTGACACTGAAAAAAAGAATTTGCACAAAAATGCTTAAGATTATTTTAAAATAAAAAGCAACTTACACAATGTTCAGCCTTAAAAATGTGCTTGTTTTCATGTTTTTGAAGTCGCAGAATTTGATCTGTGCTGTAAGGGCAATGACGACAACGATATGGGAAATTCCGAGGTGTTGTTATCCTTGGCTCTTGATCTTCATCATTAGATAAATCAAATGCAGGAGAATCGTTTATTATAGGAGAAATAACGTTATTCCTGTAAATTATAAGAATGGAAGATTTTCAGCACTCGAATTGCAATATTTTGTCAGAAATGTAATCGTGAATATATTTAAATAATTACAAACTTAATTTCTGGCTTGGGTGGTTTCCAGTTCAAACGTTCAAGTAAAAGCTCCTTATAAAGTACTAAACGTTGTTTGTCCATTCTTGGATGATGTCGCAATTTATGCAAGAGAAGACCAGCGGGTCCTGACCAAAACAATAATGCGCACCAACGACAAGAAAACTTGCAAAGTTTTCTTGTATAAAAAGAAGAGGACTTCAAGAATGAACCAGAACTTCTCAGACTCATTGTTCCCTTTAAAAAGCAGCCATGATTTTTGCTCACAGATGGATTGGATGGAGCATCTAAAAAGTATAAATGGGCTGGAGTAACACTTATGTTAGGAATACAAAATTATATTTCTCTGGAGTAAAAAATGCGTAGTACGAGAATTATGTGGTAAAAACAATTAGTACCAGTTCATTGGAGAACAACAATAGTCGAATGTTAGTCTGTAACCGTACATATGCGTTAGCAGATTTTTTCGCCTCTACGCATTTATACAGAAAAATAGTTAGGTATATTTTTTTTTTTTTTAATATTTATGCAGCAATCACAGGTACAAATAAAAGTACACTGACAGTGATTGTATATTGTAACAAAAATATTAAAAGGAAATATAAAAAGCACCTCCAGAACCAACATTTTCATAAAGTGTCTTCTTTTGGCTATTAATAAAATTTCGATTTTCATTGTAGACATTACATTCCGTTTTAATAATTTGTTTCTTCTGCGGTGTGCCATGTCTATTGTTGCCTTTGGATAATGAAGGAGCGCCCACATAATCTGGAGGCCATTTACAAATAACTCCATCATTCTCGTGCATTTGACAATGACGACGTAATAGACCGCTTGATTCATTTTTAAACTGACAGACTGAACACACAAATCCCGAGCTTCTGCAAAAATAATTTATACTAAAATATCGTTTGATCTTGCCTTTCGTGTCCAGCCATATGCGGTGCTAAACGAAGTCTGCTCTGTGTACGGAACGGACACTTTGGGCAGTGCACAGTGTTACGATCATAAATCTTTGTGCTATTACTATCCTTTTTTATATATAAACTATTTTCATCCAAATCTTTTAGACCCGCTATAGCATCCAAATTCAATAGTCGTCTGTTTCCTTTCCTTTCTTCTCTCCTTTTATTTTGCGCAATATTTATTTTATTTTCCCCTTTCCCCGTCTTCATATCTAAATCGCTAATTGTCAATTCTTTCCCAGTTGATGTATGTAAAGTATTCGATGTAGGCATTATCTGTTCAAGAATTGGCATGACATCTTCACCATTGCTTCCACCTTAAGTTAGAATATATAAAGCGTATAAAAACTGGAGATTTTGGACCAACTTGGAAAGCAAGTGTCACCGTAGGGTTGTCTTGTAGTTAATAGTTCACTATTACCCGCTGCATTAATTTCATCCAACGAACTTATCACAATTATTGGTTCTTCACATGAATCTTCACCACGAGCTTCTTCCATCTTTATATTTGAGTCGATTCTGCTGTGAATATTTTGCTGAACACCTTCCATCTTAAAATTAGAATTAAAACTAGAATTTATTGAGTAGCCCTTTTAAAACACCAGAATGAGGAGTGAGAAAATACCTATCGATAAAAGTAGTTAAATCACCAATTATTTCGAAAGTCCTTTTTTGAAAATTTTTATTTATTTTTATTCTAATCTATAAACGATTAATCTAATCTTAAATAATATAACCTGGTCGTGTATGTTGTTATTAAGAGTGTTTGATGCAATGCCAATATTGTTATTTGTTTGGATACTGGAATCGAGTACATGGAATTGCCGTGAGTTTTCTGAAGACCCCACAATCGAATTAGCATTCAGAATCAAGGCTGGATTTCCTCGTCGTCTAATCAATCCGTGAACCCGTCTGAAATTGGGTATTTTGTGGAAAAAAATAATTAAAACCTGTGCTGGCGCATCGTTTTTTTGTTTGTACAAGAAAAGTCGCAGACCTCACACGGAAGCACTTTTTTCGAACCATGCAATTTTATATGATTAGTTAATCCAACTCGGGACTCAAAAATTGCAGGACATCGCGGACAAGAAGATCCTCCAAATGTCTTAAATACAAAAGTTAAAAAACAAAAGATTATAAACATTAGATCCATCCGTAAGCATATATTCGACTTTGATATCCTTAAAAAGCCTCTCCTCATCATCCTCCTCGGCTTCATCATCTTCTACATCACTGCAGTAGTCCTTGTGTCGAACCGGTACTTTGCGTACTCGCTTAAATTCTCCAATTAATTGGCATGAAGACTGATCAGAAAAAACATGGCTTTGCAAAAATTCTGTGGGAACAACCAACTCCGTGGATTCACTTTCACCTAAAATTCGGTATTAAATTATTTGATCAAAATTGTCATGAGAAAAAGATTATGTGTGAATCCTACAAAGTAGATAAAAATATTAATAAAGAAATCTTTAATCAGTCATAAAAAATTGAAACCCCGACGGGAAAAAGAAAGACAAAAGAGTCCCGCTGAATGAGTCCCTGGTCAAAAGCTTCACGGTTGTATAAGTAAATTCGTACGCAAAACTTGCGGACTAGAATTCTGTGTGACAAAATTTTGCGGACCCGAAATGTGCGAAAGTCAGAGGGTTTTTATAAAACAAACACATGGTATTTTTTACAAAAATGGCATCATTCGAGAGGACAGAGTTGAGACTCGGTTGAGACCCTTTTGGCCTGACGAAAACCCCATAAGGTTGATAAATCGCGACCATTAGATTCTGATATATTATACTAACACAAAGTTAAATTTAAATATCTCAAAATACATTGCAATACCTTCAATTATAGCATCTGTTAAAGTAGAGTCATTTCTCACAACATCCTGTTGTGCTTTTATTTCGGGTTTTTGTTTTAATAAAGATCCCTCATCATCTGTATTTGATAATTGTTCAGTTTGGCTATTTTGTTTATCCGCGTTTACGTACTTTTGATGTTCTAAATATTTGGTAGTTCGATTTAAGTTTTATGAGATAGAGTTTAATATTTACCTAATTCCTTGTTTATTATTTTCTCCTTTTCAAGTGCCACTGATTTCTCCAGTTGTTTCCGTTTGTCATTTCGTCGGGGCGAAACTTTCTGTTGTTGTGTTGCTGATTCTTCTCTCAAAATTGGTGCTTGTAGAATCCCAGGTCGACGCGAGGCCCATTTTCTCTTCGCTGGCGGGGAATAGTTGCGCCCAGAAGAGGAGCAGCCACCACTTTTAATAACAGCTGCTACATCTAAATGGTATTTGTTGCGCTTTGAACGTCTCAGGCCATCGCATGGATTTTCTTCATCCAATTCACGCCCCTCTTGATTGAAAGACATTAGAATGTATTAAAATCGCTATCAAAGCAGAGATGAACTTCTTAAAACGAATACTATAATTGAAAATCGTTTAAGATGTAATATAAGGTAAATCAATGATTGAAAGTTAAAGAGTTATAAAATCATTTGAAATCAAATCAAAAGGTAATAGTCCTTAACTTAGAAAAATAGATGATGACAACCATTTTCTGCAGAAATCTTGAAAATTGCTTTAAAAAGGATTAAAAAGTAACTGAAATCGTCTTGTCATCATTTACTCATTCCTTTATTTTACATAGCGACCCTACAAGTCCTTTCCTTATAACTCTTCCTCTCTCTCTCTCATTCTTTCACCAAAGAATGAGATGCTTACTGAAGATATTTTGGTTAAATTTTTATCAATACAGGAGGATCAAGATTGATGTATAAATTAATGAAATTTCAATTATGTAAAATGTTTAAAGATGAGTTGCATTGAACTAACTCTTAAAGGGGTATTGGGTAGTATCCCACTATATTGAGGAGTTGTGGAGGAAGTCAATGTGCTTTTGGATGGTGCCTGGTAGTTCGGGTGGAATAGGAAAAGTAAAGGGTTTGACATATGTAGCACTTTGCTTCCATTGGTGAGAGTGAGAGGAATGCGACGAATTCCCCTTCCCTCGTTTTGCGCTCATTGCTTAATACACTGCAACATGAAAAGTGCACGAGAAGAGAGTGAATTGAATAAAGAGAGAGATGTCATCACTAACAACGTTTGTAAAAGGTCGAATTCTTAAAAGATCGTTTCCTTAAAGATCGACTAGGCAAAATGGTCAAAACATCGTTTTCTAAAAGAACTGCGGAAAAGGCCGGTTGAGTGCCGCAGTTGAATTTTATCAGTTGAAGCTAACAAAATCAGAACAAGAAACTCAAATTAGAAAAACTAGAATAAAAACAATCAGAACAAAAATAAAAAACAATCAATTGTCTGCTAGGATTCAAGTGTCCTTTAAAGATTTTCATTATCGCCGTTTTAACCTATTTTAGCGGAGTCGACATTTTGACCATTTTTGCCCGTGACTATCTTATGACGCATTTGCTAGTGTCGATATTTTGTCGATTTCTAGCTGACTACATTTTGACCCATTTTGGTCGAGTTGATCTTTTAAAGAGCGACCATTTGACGATGCATATGTACTAGCAAGACGATTGAATTGTGCTATTTATTTTACTTAATTTTCTTTTCCAACAGTGTTTTTTATTTTTATATCTTTTACTCATAAGAACATTTAGGTATACATATTATTCGCCATTGGGGTGATTGTGACTAAAAAATGAGAGAAAAGGGAAATAAAAAATAAAGAAGGAGAAATATGTAGTCTGGTCTTGTATTGATTCTTGAGAATAAAAAACTTGGTTGGGGTCAGCTTAGTGCTGACAGTTAAGTGCCAATAGATTGAGAGCGAGCCGGGTAAAAAATCTAAATTTTTTAGCAACACTTTAAAATAATTATGAGTGATTCACATGAGTAACATTAATTAAACGTCCAACTTGGGCCCATTGAATAAATTCTTGGTTAAATAACCGGTTGAATAACCGGGTTAAATAATCCAGGGTTAAATAACTCCGGGGTCCGAGTAAAATTCCATAGAATAAATTGACATTTTTTTACAAACTTGAGGTTACTGTAACTCGAGAGCAACTTTACATTTTTCCTTTTATTTTTAAATTTACTTTCCATTAAAAAAGTTCATCTGTTGCTGGGCCCTAATAGTTGAGATTAGAAAGGATTAAGGGTGTATCGGGGGATCTGGGCGTGATATATGGGGATCAAGAGAATTTTGAGGATTAAGGGGATCTTCAACACCATCCCATTCCCTCTTATTTTTTTCCCTCAACTGAGGATTTTATCAACAATTTTTAATATGTATTTGCAACCTTAATCGAAGGCCTGGAGGAATTAAAGGGAATGAATATCATTCGGAGTGATCAACAATGGAAAAAATAGTCGAATACTTAATAAACAATTTATGTATACAAGAAAAACGGCACAATACTTTCTAAATATACCAAGAAATATACAAAGTGCACAACAACTGGTTAATCTTTATACAATTTATTATCTTTATATTTCACACACATCCTTGCACATCATTCATTTCTTTTTGATCGTCGAGACGAGTTGTTGTTTGGAAGCTGAGGCTTGAACACCTTGAATGAGACACCCATATCCTTAGCCACTCGCATAATCGCTCCCGAATTGTCATACCTATTTGGAAAGATTTTTGAATAAATTTAATTAAAATTTATCAACTCACTGGCCACAATAATGAGGCGCTGTAAATAGCGTGATCAGTCCCGAACTTGCATCGTCGTTGAAAAACTCATGTCCATCCAGAACCACCTTAAAATTAAAAAAAAACGTTTTTTACAAAACTGGCCACTGTGTATTGAAAAACCTGATGAGCGCGAACTATGAGATCGATGCCAAATCGCTGCCGAACACGGTCGATCACTTCCTGGCCAAACATGCGTCCAATACCACGACGGTTGGAAGAACTGAAAAGTCGAACATTGATGTCAGGGTCAGCCCAGAGCAAGTCGGTCGCCAACTGATTGCCATCTGCTGAAATCCTATTGTCCTAAGGAAAAAAAAGTAAAACAAAAATCCTAAAATTTATAACTCACAGGTAGTGGACGACTGATTTTATCAAGAATGTCCAATGATTTTGCCTCCAACAATCCAGGACTCAAACCCCCATGCATGCATAAGATTCGATCGGAGATTAAGGCACTTAACGGCATACAGTCAAAGACTCGTTGGAAGTTCTCGTAGAGTGCTTCGCTCTTATATTTCGTCATCACACTATGATGGAAGCCGTAGGCTTTGTTGATGGACGATGTCTCATGATTACCGCGAAGCATGAAGAAGTTCTTTGGATACCGGACCTGAATAGAAATGTATCAGATTTTATTTTATAAGAGAGAAAAATTAAATTTCTTGCCTTGCACGCAAACATGAAGAGTATCAGCTCCACAGACTGCTGGCCACGATCAATGTAGTCACCGAGAAAAAGGTAGTTCCGCATATGCGGGAAACCTTCCGCATCGAATATCCGCACAACATCGTTGAATTGTCCGTGAAGATCACCGCATACAACAACTGGCGTGTCAAGACGAAGGAACATAGGCTGTGTCAAAAAAACTCGACGAACGGAAGTCAACAGCTCGCGGATGTCCTGAAATTTTTGGGAATCAAATACGTCAAACTTAAAAATTAATTGTTTACCTTTCTGGTGATCTTGCTCTCGATACGACCATCCAAGATTCCTGCGAAGAACTCATCAAAGAAACGATTAATGTCGATGCGTGCCCTCCTTGACATGTTGCGGTGTTTGTCGAAGCGTGAAGGTTAAAAATTGAAGACGATATTTGCTTTTTGTAATTACGCTTTTATAGCAAATTCAGAAAAAACCAAGTCTAAAGTCTTACTCTGGGAAATAATGGTAACTAGATACGGTTATGGCGTCGATTTTTCAGATCATAAAATCGACACAGGAGTTTACGGAAGCTGCTCGTACTCTACTTGTACTTACTTGTACTTGTACGAACTTTGGTACATATGGCGTTGATGTAAAAGGTCGACCTCAAAATTTTCACCCGAGTGTATGTAAAATCGTGATCAAACGTTAATTTAACTTTGATAAAGATAAGTAATATATACTTTAAATTAATAGCAGCAAAATATATTATAACATAAATTAAGAATTTTTAAAATATGTACAATACTTATAAAAAATTGGCACTTTGTAAAGATTGCAGTGATTTAAAATAAATGAGGAAAGAGATTTATTAAGTAAAGAGCTTTAAAACCTCCTACAGGAAAACACTTCAATCTTTAAGTGCCAAAAAATTAATTAAAAGGCTTGAGAAAAGAAAGAACTTTAATTTAATATACCGTATTTGCTAAAACAATTACCAAGGGTAATTATTGTTTCAACCTCTCGCTGGAGGGAGTAATTAATAGGGAAAGGGTAATTATTTAAGCTTTTTTTAGAAAGGCTAATTATAACTATTTTTAAGAGGGGTAATTATTTTTTCGACCTCTGGCTGAAGGGGGTAATTAATAGGGCGGGGGTAACTATTTGAGAGAGGGACATTATTTCAGCATATACGGTATACAGTATTGCCCTATTCAAGCTTCACAAACAAATTTAGGATGTTTTTGTCGTTTAAAATTTAAATTAATATTATTATTATTATTAGATATTTCTCTTTGATTTGTTGCTAAACGTTGCTGATTTGCAACACAAAGGGGCATTAATGGAACCAATAAAAAACAATTTGCATGCATTTCTTGTAATGCTTTTTCTCTTCCAAGAGTTGTTGGATCTGCTAAAGTACCCCGTCTAGAATACATTTAAAGAAGGAAAATTATTTAAAATTTAATTTAGGCACCTATAAGGATTATATTTAGCTGTAGCATTTTGAAGAATATGCCTTTCTAAACTTTTCTTATATAAAAGCCCTATAGAAGGACTTGGAGTAAATTTGGCTAAAAGGCCGCCAACATGTTGATTTTGTTGGCGACGTGCATTTGTTAACCAATACATATCATCACGAAGGGCTCGTCTATGCCTCTAAATATTTTTTTTTGGTTTTTAAAAATATTTTTGATTTACTTTGCTCATATAAAAATATAATAAAGGATTAGAAACAACAGATGTCATTGCTACAGCGTGAACATTAAGTAATTTGAAATACATTTGTGTTTCCAAAAAGCTAATTCCAATATCTCGAAGTAAATTAACAAATGTGAGTGGCATCCAGGAACCCATAAATATTAATACCTTTAATTATTTAATATACATTTAATTTTATAGATTTATTACTTGTAAAAGTAAAATTTAATAGTTTATTTTTTTATTTAATTTAAATTTATTTTAAATTAGCTTTAATTATTTAAATAATATACATTTAATTTTATAAATTTATTACTTGTAAAATTAAAATCTAATTTTGTGTTGTGTAAAAATCTAAGTTATTTTTTGTACATAAAATATTTCTTTTATAATTAATTTAACTATCTCATCAAAACAAAAGGAAAAAAGATTATTAAGATTAGATAGCGAGATAGTGGAGATTCATAAGTGTTATGTAATAAAGTTTTATCTTAAAAATTTTTCTTACAGAAATTAATTATTATTAGAAAATTGGCTTAAAATTAATTAAAAAATAATCAAAATAATTCTAAAAAATTAAACTAACCATCAAAATTAGCACATACCTGTTTAATTATTAAAAATTATTTTAAAAATAACAAAACTTTTAAAAACTCACATTACTCTTCTTTTTCGAATTGCTGTTTGTGCCTGTTGTTCCAAACTCATTATTGAATTATTTGTTGGAACTAACCAATCTTGTCTAACTTTTTGTAAAATTTTCCAATAACAATAAGTCATTATTAAAGTGGGGATTAAAAATTGGATAGAAAGGAGAGAAATTCCATAAAATAATTTTATTCGAAAATCTGTAGGCCAATTAAGTTCAGTACAAAACTAGAGAATTTTTTTAATCTTTTTAAAGTTTTATATAAATATTAACTTCTCCACAAAAGGTCATATTTTTATATACAATTTGTTGCAATCCTTGAACAATAAATAAAGGAGAGGAAATAATTATACAAAAAGTCCAACAGAGTGTCTTTTAACGAAAAAAATAGTAAATAAAATATTAATTTTTTAAGAAAATTTTTTAATTTTGAAAGGGATAGAAGAAGTAAAGATAAATTATAAAATATTTTAGTAAATTAAATACCATTAACCATTGTGCATGTTGTATATTCCAAGGAACTTTAAGTGGAGTAACAATAGACCTATATCTGTCAACAGCAATTAAACACAAACAATAGGAAGAAATTAAAACTATTTTATTAAAATATTTATTTTCTTTTATTTTTAAAAATTTCACCAGATATTCCTTGACAAAGAGGAACTAATTTACAAAGTGCTAATCCAAATATCCAACGCTTAACAAAAGCTAAGACTGGAGTTATTGGGAGGGCAGTAATACATAAAAGCTATAAAATTATTCAAAAAATATTTCTTTCAGAATAAATAACCAAATCAGAAATAGCTAAATTCATAAGAAATACATTAGCTACAGTCATTCTCCTTCTTATTGTTCCAACAAGGAAACCATTCCCTATTAAACCAACAATAAATATTGCGGCATAAAATAATGAATAGAAAAACTGTTTAAAAATTAATTTAAAAAAATTTTAAAATTCAAAAAATACTTTAACATCCAAACGTAAAGTCCAATCACCAAATTGATCCAAAACACTATTTAATTCAATACAATTTTCAATTTCAATTTGGTTAATTTGTTGGTTTAATGAAATAGATGATACCATTATTTATTATAATTAATTTAGTTTTAGTGAATCTAAATATTTCTTTTAATTATTGAAATATGAAAGTTTAATTTTTGGTTATTTAAAATTTTAATATAATTTTACTTCAAAATTTTTTTTTGACAAAATAAACGTTTTGAAAGACTTTAAGACTGAATATTGAATTTATCTTTCAAAATTTCACACAGCGATAAAGTGTATTTTTAAAAGGGCAGAAGTAAAAATAAATTCAGATATAAAATAAATAAATATTTATTTATTTTATAAAATTTAGTTAAAAAAATAATTTTATTTAACTATTTTATTTATTAAGACTCGGACTATAAATAATTTCATTCTTTTTCTAAACCCAAATTAAGGACCTGCAGGAATGGGTAGGGACAAAAACGGGCAAAGTCGAAGAAAAACGGGAGAAAATATCCTCATCGTACCCGTATAAATATATCTACTATAATCTTTGATATTTACTTAAATTATTTATTTTTCTTTTTATTATAAAAAATTATTTAATATATATAAATAGTTATTTAACTTGAGTTAAAAAATTCATGATGAGAAAAAAAGTTAGTAATATAAAATACTCAAGAAGAAAATTATTTTGATGTTGGGGGTGGAGAGAGAGAATAAAAAATGAAATAAAAACTACTTGTTCTCATTTTCTATTATAAATAATACTCAAGGGATGGATAACAACTAATCAAATCAGAGGTTGTTGAAATAAATAAAAGAGGAAAATTGGTCTTGAAAATGAGAAAATAAGGAAGTTAAGAGGTTTTGAAGAAGGAGAAGAGGGAAAGGGGGGAGGAAAGGGGGAAAGAAGTCCCGGATGTGCCAACTCCAATTTATCGGTTTATAAGGGAATACAGATGGAAAAATGCCCATTGATGATAAAGCAATGATGAGTGAAATGAAACCTAAGGGCTTTTTAGGTAAAAGAAGGTAAAAAGAAAATATGGCCAAAATTGAAGTCAAAGGAGAAAAAAACCTTTTTTCCATTAGAAAAGGTCCAGAATTGACAGAAAATTAATAATAAGCTAGATTGTATTAAATGACCTGCAAAATTTAATTACTGTCGGATAAACTCAATACTAGTATTTTAAATTTGGCTGGCCACTAGGGTTAGTAAGATATCACTCAATTAAAGAAATATTATTAAAAATAAATTAATCTCCCGTTACCTCGAAGATAAATAGAAAAATTAATTAATTTATTTTTAAATTCATTTTTGCTAAACAATATAGAAAAAAATTTAGTATTTTGATCTAAATTTGAAGTATCCAAAACACAAATAGTAAAATTGAGGAGTTTCAGATTTGACATATTTCACATGTTTTAAATAATATTTTTTAAATAAAAGTTAAAAACTTCGAACATTTATAAGAAAATAGTTTTTTTTATTTTTTCAGAAACAAAACGATCATGATTGATTATTTTAAATATTTTTTTCGAAAGGATTTTTTTGAAAATAAAAAAATATTAAACAGTTGTGACAACAATTCAACAAGCTTAATAAAATAAATTAAATAATTTTTTGTTTCCTAGTTCTTTTTAATTTATTATATTTTAAATTTTAATTAAATTTGTTTTAAAGGACAATAATTTAAAAAGTTATTTTAAATAAAATAATTTTTCTTTTAAGAAAAAATTAAAAAAATATTTTTCTTAAAAATATTAAATTAAAATTTTAATTTAGTAAAAATAAGTTTAGAATTTTATAAAAATATTTTTATATTTTTAAATCATTTTTTTTAATTTATTTTTTATTAGTTCACTATCATAATTCATTTTTCCGACTGCATAAAAATAAAATAAAAAGCAACAACAGACGCAAGATTTATGTAACGAGAACATCAAAAAATATTTTAGATATAAAATAAAAAAATTATTTATTTTTAGAAAAGAACTCTTTAATAATTTTTTTCTGTCAAAACTAGGGAACTTCAAAAGTTATTAAATAAATATTTTGAATGATTTGCAAGAATTCACAAATAAATATTGAAATTGAATACTTAAATTATAAATATAAATATTTTAAAATTATTATGAGAATTATAGATATATTTTTAAATTTATGATTATATTTATAGAAAATCTAGAGATTGCACATCGATTTCACAGTCATTCAACTCAATTCGTTATGAGCTATCATGTTAATAATTAAACTTTTTACAGCAAAAAAGAGTTATCTTGTAATTGTGATACAATATATTCTCAATTAGTTGATTAGAGGAATAATTTTTTAGGAGTGAAATAATAAGGATATTTTAAAGTAAAAGCAAAGAGAGGGGAGGGGGTAATTGGTAATCAAAACAAAGGGTTATTTAAATATTTTAATTAGTGACTTGAAATAATATTTAGAAGTTTCTCTGTCTACACATTTTAAAAGATAAAAAAATTAATTTATATTTAAAATAAAGTTTTTTTCAATAAGAAATGTATCTTTTTTCTAAAAAATATACATACATATACTCGAAATTACTAAAAAAATAAAAAAGTAAAATAAAAATATGTATATATACAAATGCCCTCAAGAAAAATAGAAAACAAAAAAAGACAACCTACCTAAATTAAATTACCTTTCAGATATATCCAAATTTATTTTTATTTGTCCTCTAAAAATCTAAGCAAAACACAATATTAATTTTTTATATTTTTTATTTCTTTTTCAATTTTTTGGTAAGCTAATTTGCAATTTTCAATTTGTTTACATTTTTTGGAGTTAAAAACAATCAAAAACAAGTGCATTTAGTTGTTTATTTAAAACTTAATAAAATTTTAAAAATTTGATTAGAAAATATATGGACTATATTTAGAATAATAATAATTTTTTTAAAAATATTTTTAAATTTTTATAAAAATTAAATATATATAATTAAATTAATTTTTTAAATTCTCTCTCCCTCTTTCTCTCTTAATTTGACCAATAAATAAACCAAAAATGTTAAAAAAATATTTTTTTCTTTTTGCGCAAAACTTTCCAACTACCTAAATATACATTTATTTATTGCTGTAATCATTACAAAATTAATTGGAGGACATATAAATAAATTTATAATTATACATATATTTATTTTCTTTCAATCATTTAACACCCCATAATTACTCTTTTCTTTGTTTAATTATTTTCTTGAGGCCAATCAATTTTCTAAAATTAAATCAATTAATTAATTAAAGAAATATTTTTTAATTAAAATATTTAATTAAAGAGAATTTTATCAAAAACCTGCTCATTTTAGTTAAATTAAAAAACATTTATAATTTATTTAATGTTATTAAAGCTTAATTCCTTCAATATAATTTTTGTTATTTTATTAAAATGTTTTTTATTTCCAATTTTCGTCTATGGCTCTAACGGTTTTTAATTAAAAAATCTACTAATTTTTTTATTAAAATTTAAATAAAGATAATTGCCCTTCTCTTTGCCGATGTTCATTAAATGGACGTCATGCAGATTGTCAAGGCTTAGGGTTAACAACATTTCCAAATTTAAGAGAATTTAGTCAACATTTGGAAGTGTTAGATTTGAGAAGAAATAATATAGTTAATTTACAAATTAATTTATTATCTTCATTTACTCATTTAAAAACACTTTTACTCAGTCACAATTTAATTGAGCATTTAGAACAAGTTTGTTAATTTAAAAAATAATTTATTGTTTTTTTTATTTATTTGCCACTTGGGTGACATTAAAAAGTGGAAAAATAAAGTAAAATACCGTATTTGCTAAAATAATTACACCGAGTACTTATTGTTTCACCCTCTCGCTGGAGGGGTTAATTAAAAAAAAAAGGGGGGGGGGGGGGTAATTATTTGAGAGAGGGAAATTATTTCAGCATTCAGAGTAAGTTGAAATTAAATTAAAAACAATTATACATATGTATAGTATGTTTGTTCAAATTTATGTATTATTGTACTATTATGTGATATTGGAGGGCTTTTAGATTTCTTTTAATTTAATATAATTTATTATTCTCTTTTATCTCAAAGAATCTTCTCGATTTTCTTCCAAAATTGCACCAACTCTATTTAGGCAACAATAAAATTAAATATATTCCAAAATTATCATCAAATATAATTTCTAATAATTATTTACAATTACTCGATTTACACAAAAATCAAATAAAAATAATTGAGGAGGAAGCATTTCAAAATTTAAATAATTTAAGAATTTTGAATTTGGAAGGAAATTTTATTCAGTCAATACCTAAATATTTATTTGAAAAAAATGAAAAATTAAATAAATTAGAATTGGGAAATAACCCTTGGAATTGTGATTGCAGGTTTTGTTATAATTATTTGTAGTACATATTTGTGAATTGTGAATTGGTTAACAATTTAAATTTCCTGATCTTTTAATTATTTTGTTGTTTAAGCAAGAAATCCAGCTCGCAATTAGTATACAATTTTATACTATAGTTGAACCTCCTCGATTTTAAATGCCCGCATGAGTTTGGAAAATATTATTTACAAAAATGAAAGGGTATCTAAGTGAGGGTATATATGTACATATTAGGCCGCTCCCCCACCCAGAGGCCAACCAAATTTAAATAAAAGACTTGTGTTCGGCATTCTAATACGTTTTAATAATTTATTAAATAGATTAATACCTTTAAATGATTTGCTTGAGAAAAGACCTGAATTGGAAAAATTAGATCAACATCCTCATCCTCAAAATAAACATCAAGCAAATCACAATAATAATCACAATAAGATAGCTAAATGTGCCAATCCTGGCCATCTTCGAAATAAAAAAATTTCGAAATTATTAAAAGAAGAATTAGAATGTTTTAAGCCAGAAATTGTTTTTGAAGGAATTTCTGACAATAATAAAACAAAAATTAAATGTTTAACTAAAAATAATGAGGAAAATATTCAATGGATTTTAAAGTAATTTTAAAATTAATTTAGTTAATTAAAATTTAATTAAAGCGATAAAGCAATAGAAATGTCTATATTGGGGGAAATAGAAATATTAAATGATGGGACATTATTAATCGGAAATAGAGAATTATTTAGTAAATTACAGGTAAATTACTAGTAAAATATTTTTAAAAAATTATTTTTTAATTTTAAAAATTAGTGTTCAATAAATTATCCACAAATTTCTTTCAGGTTTTAATTTTTAATTTTATTCATTAACTATCCATTTATAAAGACAATTACGTGATGCTATAGTGGATGTATCATTAACAGAAAAACAAAATTCGAATATTAAAGTTTTATTTAAACCTTCAAATTTACAACAATCTTCTTTGGTAATTAATAAATAGATAAATTAATTTAAATTAATTTAGCAATATTCACAACAACAAAATAATGAAAATAATAATAAATTAAAAAATAATGGAAATTCTCCTCGATTTACTTATACACCAAGAGACAGACGATATCGGGAAGGGACAGCTGTACAATTAAATTGCGAGGCTATTGGTAATCCAAAACCAAAAATATATTGGTTGGTTCTTTGTAGAGAAAAGGAAAAATATTTTTATTTTTAAAAAGGTTTTTTAATTCTCAACAAATAGAGCCTTCACGTAAACATACTTTTCGTAATGACGGAAGTCAATTATTAATTTATCCATTTCTTGAACAAGATATTGGTATTTATAATTGTGAGGCTGTAAATATAAATGGAAGAAATAAAAGTTTAAATGCCCGTTTAGAGATTATTAAAAGTTATCCACCAGAAATTATTGAAGGACCAAAATCGAAAAATGTTGGGATTGGACAGAAAATTATTTTTAGGTAAATAAATATGTCTGAAAATATATTTAAAGAAAATAAATAGATGTAAAGCTAAAGGAGAACCAAAACCTTCAATTGGTTGGTTTTTTAATGGAGTGGAAATTTCTTCTTTTGGAGGGCATTTTCAAGTATCTAATAATTAAAATAATACATATATTTAATTAATTAAATTACTTTTTTTTATTTTAGATAAGTGAGGATCAGGTATTTCAATTTAAAAATTGAGTTTAAATATTTTAATAAATAATTTATAGTCCCAATTAACTATTGAATCGGTAGTGAGAAGAGATGCTGGTAAATACTTAAATAATTAAAAAATTATATTTAAAATTAATTGCCACAAAAAATTCAACAAAATTCTATTTAATTAAATATTTCAAAGGAACATATTCTTGTATGGCCGGAAATACAGTTGGTTCAATGACTGCAGATGCCCAATTAGAAATAAATTCTTCACAATTGGATCAAATTGATAAACAAATAATTAATGAAAAAACATTTTTAAAAAATATAGTAAATCAAGCTACGGATAATATTGAAAGGTTTTTTTGGAAGGAATTTTTCTAAATTAAATTTTTTAGATCAATTTTAAAGACAAAAGAAGAATTAGTTAATTCACCAAAAGATTTACTTAAACATTTTAAATTTATTGGAAAGCAACAACCAACAGAATTAAGTAAAGCAAGAGAAATTTATGAAGAAAGTTTGAGATTAATTGAAAAACATGTTGAATTAGGTAGTGAAAAGAAAATAAAATAGAGAACTATCTCCGAGAACTATCTCCCCGCATTTTCACTTCCTTTTTTGGGGTTTCCAAATACCTTTGGTTATATGTATAATTTTGTTTTGGGTCCGAGAACTAGGGAAAGTCTGTTAAATTAGGTAGTACCATGCGTAGCTTATGTGTGTCCTTTAAATTTTTAAAGATTGATGTGCTATAACAGGCTAAAAGGTCTTTCTTAGACCAACCTCCGTAGGTATCCGGGCCCATATCTTCTGGACCTGAAAAAAACAAAAATAAAAGGAAGAAAATTTAATTTCACTTTAATTTAAAAAAGGTATTAATCTAAAACCACAAGAAATGCCTACAGAAAATATTTCCTTTGAATCGGTTTTAAGTGTTACACATATACAAACATTAATGGAATTATCTGGATGTATGAGTGGACAAGTAAGGAAATTTAAAAAATAATTTGTACTTTTCTTTAAAAAGTTTAAAGATACATGTCAAGATATGTGCTTTCACTCAAAATATAGGTAAAAATATTTAAATAATGAATAAAATTAACGAAATAATTTTAACATGGTTAATAAAGGGATGGGTAACACCGCTTAATCTTTAAAAAATTTTGGTTATTGGTCAAAAAATTGAGTTGATTCTGACTATCTTTATTTAATTTTTAATTTTAATTGTCTAAATAAATTTATTTTAATATTTAATTAATTAATCTAAAGATCATACACTGGACAATGTAATAATTTTGACCATCCAACTTGGGGTGTAAGTCAAATGCCATTTCTTCGATTATTACCACCAATTTATGAAAATGGATTTAATACACCTGTTGGATGGAATAAAGGCTATTTATATTTTGGGTAGAATAAAATTAAAAAAATATATTCTTTCAAATAATAAAGATATCCAAAACCAAATCCGAGGACAGTATCTGTTGAATTAATTGGGGCTGAAAATGTATGTAAATTAAATATGAATTTTAAATTTTAAAATTAAAAGATAAGTCCACATCCTTATTATTCTGCAATGCTTATGCAGTGGGGGCAATTTCTTGATCATGATTTGGATTTTACTGCAACTGCTTTAAGTAGACAAACATATGTTGGTGGGGCTAGGTAATGATTTTGTAATAATTTTTGAAAAATACTAACTGGAAGGCCAGGAATATTTTTTTGAAACAAAGTGCTTTACTTTTAATAATTTAAAGATGTAACCGAACTTGTGATAATATTGCCCCATGTTTTAATATTCCATTACCATCAAATGATTATCGTTTGCATACAATTACCAATTCTTCTGATAAATTACCCTGTATTGAATTTGAGAGATCTGCAGCAATTTGTGGATCAGGGGAAACATCTCCAATTTTTCAACAAATTACTTATAGAGAACAAGTTTAATACAAAGAAAATATTAAATATTTATTTAAAATAAATAGGCAAATATAATAACGAGTTATTTGGATGGTTCTCAAATTTATGGAAGTACAGAAGTTGATGCTTTGGATCTTCGAGATTTATTTTCTGATCACGGACTTTTGCGTTTTGATATTGTTAGTTCTGCACAAAAACCTTATTTACCTTTTGAACGAGATTCGGCAATGGATTGCAGAAGAAATTTTTCTAATGAAAATCCTATACGTTGTTTTTTATCTGGAGATTTTAGAGCTAATGAACAAGTATTTAATTAAAAATTAATTAAAATAAAATTAATTTTTAGATAGGTCTAACAGCAATGCACACAATTTGGATGCGTGAACATAATTTTATTGCTACACAACTTTTAGAAATGAATTCGGATTGGGATGGTGAAAGAATATATCAAGAAGTAAATTAAATAAATTTAATATAGGTAATTAAATTTTTTTAAGACAAGAAAAATTATTGGGGCAATGATGCAGGCATTTATTTATTTAATTCTTTTTTCTTAATTTTACTTTAGCATATTACTTATAATGAATGGTTACCTAAAGTACTTGGACAAGTATTAGAAAATTAATTTTTAAAAAAATATTTTCAATTCTAAGGAAGGATATAAAATATTAATTGGCCCTTATAATGGTTATTCTTCGGAAGTATTAAAATAATTTGTTTAAAAATATTTTAAATCTATCAGGTAAATCCAAGTGTTTCAAATGCTTTTGCTACAGCTGCTTTTCGTTTCGGCCACACACTTATTAATCCAAACTTGGAAAGATTAAATAAAAATTTTAATTCAATACAAGAAGGCCCTCTACCTTTACATGAAGCTTTTTTTGCTCCCGAACGTTTGCTTGCTGAGGGAGGTGTTGACCCTATCCTTAGGGGGTTATTTGCATCTCCTTTGAAACAACCGATGAGTGAACAGGTAAATAAGGATATTAAAGTAATGGACAATATTACTTGGATATAGGGCACTTAATCATTTTAGAACCGGGCATGATTTTTAACATAAATAATTTATATATATTTAGAAAATAAAAAAAATTTACTTACAAAATATTCGTCTTGAATTAAATTAATAATTAGTTAAAAACTAGAAATAAAATTTATTTTTAAGTTATTAAATAGAGAATTAACCGAACGTTTATTTCATCGGGCACATAATGTTTCTTTGGATTTGGCTGCAATTAATATACAAAGGGGAAGAGATCATGGACTTCCCGGGTAAATTAATTAAATAATTTTTTAATTTAATTAATTTAAAAGTTATTTGGAATATCGACGATTTTGTGGATTAACTGTGCCCACAAATTGGGAACAACTTTCTTTTAATATTCCAAACCCTGAGGTTTTATTTTATATTTTATTATTAATTAATTTTTACTTCTAGGTGTTGTCACGACTTAAAAAACTTTATGGTAAATAATTCATAAAAAAATAATTATTTAAGAATTAAATCAAATTAAAAGGTCATCCAGGCAATATAGATTTATGGGTTGGGGGTATTGTTGAAAAACGTTTACCAGAAGCTCTTATTGGCCCAACATTTTCTTGTATAATTGGAGATCAATTTAAAAGACTTCGAGAAGGAGATCGCTTTTGGTTTATTCTGAAGACTTTTTTTGAAATTTTTTATAAAAAAGGTATGAAAATCCGGGTGTTTTTACTCCTTTACAATTATCGCAAATAAGAAAAAGTACTTTGGCATCAGTTATTTGCAGAAATGGGGATGATATCGACAAGATTCAAGTAAATTTTTTAAAATACATATACTTCTTGGGAATTCCCTAATAAAGCATTTTTCTGTTTTGTTTACTACCCCTTTAGTTCTTTATTCACTCTAATTTATATCTGAGATGGCTATTTTTAAATTAAAAATTAAATTTTTCTAAAATTTTTAGCCGGATGTGTTTCTTTATTTTGGACAAAATAAATTAGCTTATAAACAATGCGAACAATTACCAAGATTAAATTTACGCATGTGGATGTCTTGTTGTGACGAAAGTTGCTCATTTCGTTCTACACAGAATAATGGGAAAAATGAGGAAGAAAATCTACAGAGGAGAAGGAGACGTTCAAAACATTTATATAATTAATATTTTGATTTAATATTTTTTGAATATTTTAAGTTTTTTCGATTCTATAGCGGGTTATCCCTTCTCAAATACGCAAAATGGTCAAATATCTATTTTAAAAATATCCATGCCTTTGTTATTTGGCCGGTCTTTAAATATTTGTACACACAGATGAGGGAAAAATACAGGCACCTTTTTGGGGAAAAATACGTGCGGATAACCCACTTTACTTTATAATTAAATTTTTAGATTTTACAAAAATTTTACTTAAATAATTTAAAAAAAATTTATTTACATTTTCATCTCCTCTTATAATTTTATAATATTATATTACTAAAAATTATTTTTTTTTTCTAAAAAAAATAAAAATACACCTTTTTTCCATTTTTGTTTATTATTACTTGAACAGATGTTTTGAATGCGCAAGGTTGTTGTAAATTATTTATTGCCTGTTGCCATGGTTCAAAATAAGAAAATATTAAAAGAAAAATAAAAATAATTATTTTTTGTGTGTGTAAATTTATTTCTGAACACCATTTTTGTTGAATATTTATTTTTAAAAATAAATAAATATTTTTAATCCTTTCTTTTTAAAGAAAATATTTACTAAATTGCTGTTCAAAGTCCATTCATTACTTGTTGACAAAAAATAAATATACTAAATTAATCCAGATATATTTTAATGTTCGTTATTTTTGAAGGAAATGAGTCACAGAAATGACTTTTAAAAAATAAAATTAAGTGAGGGAATTTTAATGAGAAATATTTGTAAAATAATAAATACTAAATACATATATACTTTAGCTAAAAATAAAATAAATAAAATTACTTATCGGCCCAAAGTTATTTTACAATAAATAATAAACTCACTTCACAATATCCTCTATCGAATATTCCCTTGTCTGTATTTTCTGAAACATCCGGTTTAAACTTAAGCCTCGCACAAACTCGGCCCTATTCTGATTTTAAAATCCATATAATTAGGCAAAATTTAGTAAAAAATGGCAGATATTTTTAAGTTAAAAGCAGACACTTATTCACAATATTTTTATATTAAATAATTATAATTATGTATTACATATTTACGTGTTTTTAGAGAAAATTCTTTTTATTTTTTAAATATTAAAGCTTATAATTATTTTAATTTATAAATATTTTTTTTTAGTTTTACAAAAAATATTTTTACTTTTTTTTAAATTTTATTTAAAAGAATGTATTATTTAAAAGAATTTTTCCTCAACAAATTATCGCTAATTTTATGATTTTAGAAAATTAACCATTAACAATAAGGCGCTATTGTCATCAATATTTTTTTAAATTTTTATCATATGATTAGTTATTTTTTAAAATTATTATTTTTTGTTAAGGAAATGGAATTTTTAATTTATGTCCAAACTTTTTGTTTAAATAAAAAATTTAAAAGAATTTAAAAAAAACAAGGAAATATTAAATAATTTAATGTTTAAAAACTTTATTTTATTTGTTTTCACATTTATATTAATTTAAGCATTTTATATGTACATAAATTTTTATTAGGAAATAGAATATAAACATAAATAAATGACAAAATAAAATTAATCTCCAACTACATAAAGTGTGTTAACTAATTATAAACTCACCCCAAAATTTCATATCTTGTCTCTGGTTAAATATAGATACCGTAAATCCTCTAAAATAAGCCCCAGGGCTTATTTTGTTCGATAGACCTCCAAAGGTGGCTTATTTTGGAGGGGTGGGGGCTATTTTAGAGGATTCACGGTAATTAAGTCAACTCTCGATCTATCGACTTCTCAATTTAATAACCTAAAAGAACATTTTCTCAGGTCCTTTTAATTTCTTTATTTCGAGATTAACTAAATATATATTTATTTATTTTAATTAAAAATCATCTGATATTTTTTGTTTTAACAATTTAAAATTAAAATATATTTTCCGGAAATGTATGTACAAATAAACATTTTTATTTTAATGTTGACATAAATATATACGTTTTTTCTCCCATATATATTTTCCTTTTTTACTAAACACATATACCCAATCATCTTTCATTAAATTTATTTATTTCCGTAAAAATAAATATTTAATACGACATAATTTTGAATAAAAAACTTTTTTTTAAATATTAATAAGAACCAGTCACTTACGGAAGCATCTTTATTAAACGGAAATATAATTAATTAATTATTTTAATTAATTAAATATTTATATATAAATAAAATTGGTTTTTTTAATTAAAATCAGAGGTGTGTCGGAATTCCAATTTCCGAAGTTTTTTACTTCCAATTTCCGAAAAAAATTTGACTTCCGACTTTTGAGCCAGTTCCGATTTCCGACACCTCTGACTGTTCCGACCCACCTCTGATTAAAATCAAGAATTTTTATTTATTTTTTAATATATTTTTGCAGAAAATTAATTTTTATTTATTTAATTTTTATTTATTTGCTAAATTTCCAGTCTCAACCAGCCTTTCTAAAATTAAAGTTTTTTAGCCATTTCCCCCCTTTTTTATTGTTTTTCCATCTGTATTTTTAAAATTATATTTTATTTTTAGGCAGGGAAAGGTAAAACCCTAAAATAAATATTTTTAAATGTTTAATGTTCAAAGTTCTATTCAGAAAAACTTTTTTTGCCAAAACATCTGTCCGTCCCTTCGTCTCTTTTTGCTATTTTTCCGTCCAATTATTAGAAAAAAAAGCAAAAAAAAAGAAAAGCACACAATTTCTTTTTTTTCTTTTTCACGTTTGCGCCAAAAACTGGCCCACCTTGGCAATATATCAAATTCGATTTTCCCCCCTTCTACCGATGAGAATCGGCTGGCAGCAAAAAATAGAAAGTATTCAAGTCTTTGCCTGGCAGGAACTACGTTTTAAGAATGGCTGCCCGACTTGTAAAGAAAAAAAGTGTGGGAAGAGGCCAAAGACCAATAATGAACACATCTCTCTCTCTCATCTCTTTTTAAAGATATCAGAGAATAAGTAGTAGGCGGACAAACTGTTTTTAGAATCTTCTACATTTTTCTATTTTTTATTTTTCTTTCACGTATTTATTTCCCTTTGTTCTCCACGATATATGGCCTATTGATTTATTAAAATGGCCGAGAATCTAAGCGATGAAAAATAAAAATCGAGGAGAGAAGAAAAGAGAAAAATAAAAAGATGAATGAATAAACTGGAGAAAAAAAAAACTGGAGAAACTGGAGAATAAACTGGAGAAAAAATGCAAAGAAAAATGCGCAAAAAATTATTAATAAATTTCAGCGGATTTCGAAAAAATTTTTGGAACTTTTTAAGTTGGGTCCAAATTTTTAAAAATTATTTTGAATTCTTTTTCACATAATTTTGTATTTATTTTATATTTTATTTTCTTTACATATTTCCTTAATATATCCGCATTTATTATCCGCATTCAAAAAATTTATCCGCAAATATATTCCCTTTGTTGTAAAGAGAAGAAAACACAAAAAACAACCATTCATTCATAAAAGCAGCTGCAGCTATTCACATAAATAAATACACACACGTCCAAGCAATAGACCTCTTTTTTGTATTTTTCTCTAATAATTTTAATGTCTCTCATATTTTTATATTATCTCTCATTCCTGACAGTCAGAGAGAAATTGACAGAGAAAAAGGCCTAGCACCAGCCTTTATTCTTCTTTCCACCCATATTATTCTTCTCCCCATTTTCCAGCCGATAGCTGCTATCCCCCTCTCTCTTTTTCTTTTTAAAAATATAAAAGTCAATTGTAAAATGTCCAAAAAATATTTTTTTTTGTAAAATTTCCCTCAAAATTTTTAAAAGTTATTTTTCTATTTCTTTATTTATTTTGGTGTTATTGTTGTTCAAAGTTGATATAAAAATATTTTTTTTATTATTAATTGAATTTTGTTTTATTATTTTAGTATTATTGAAATTTTACAAAAATAAGCTTAATAATTTTTAAAAATTAAAAATTAATCTCTTTTTACGTTTATTTTTTCATTATTTTTCTATATTTCATTAAAACACAACAATAAATCCATTAATAGCAAAATATAGTAAATTACAACAATTTATAACTAAAAAATATTTTAAACTTTGTGTGTTTCTTTCACTTTGATTAATCATCTTTTTTTATCATTTTTTATTTTATTTTATTTTAATGTCACAAAAGTTGTCTTGTTTTATCTTTTTTCTTACATATTTAATGAAATTTTTATTTTATTATTTTGCAGACAAAATTTGGAAAGAACTTTAATAAAATAAAATATTTTGTAATATGTATTATGTATTTCTACACAATTTATTTAATTCTTTCTCAATTTCTCCAAAAATAATTTCCCCAAATTCTCTCAACGGTCAATGTGTGAACAAATCAATTTTCGTTTTTATTTTTTTTCACGCAGTGTTGGCCCAAACATTTATAGTATAAAACATTTTTGTGTATACATATACCTATATATTTATTTCCCTTTTAGTTTGGCCAATTCATTTTCTTAACCTTTTCTTTTTTAATTTAATTCGCAAAATTCAAAGATCATAAAAAATTTATTTCTATATCATCCTCCAAAAAACGTTTTTAAACTAAAAATTTTTTTATCAAAAGACATACTTCAAACGCCCAACTTTCTCTGTTTAGTACAAAGAAATTATTAAATTTTTGATAAGTAATAAATATATACCGTATATACTCTATTAATTACCCTCCCTCAAATAATTACCCCACCTCTATTAGTTACCCCCTCCAGCGAAAGGTTGAAACAATAATTACTCCCTTAAAAATAGTTATAATTAGCCTCCCTAAAATAACCTCTATTAATTACCCCGCCTCTATTAATTACCCTCTCCAGAGTAAGGTCGAAACAATAATTACCCAGGGTAATTAATAGAGTATATACGGTACTTAATTATTTATTTAATTTAAACTTTTATTTTTTTGGAAGATAATTTTTTATTTAAATAATTTTATTTTAAAAATTTATATAAAAATTTGTTTTCTAAATTTGTAAATAACATACCCTTTCTTTTTTTCAATAAATATATTTTTTGAACTTGTACATGTTGTGAAACGCGAAAAATTTTTCTACATGATTTGGATGCTATTTTATTTGGTCATGTTATTATTTTATCGTAATAATTACTCTAAAAATTAATGTTAACCTATTTAATTATATAATTAATTTTTAACATTAATTCCCTTTTTTTATTTAAATATTCTTTTGCCATAAAAGGTCTTTCCACAGAATTGTTTACGTGAATTGAATACGCCAATAAAAAACTATAAAAAAATTTTTTTCTTTCCGTCAACGGAATTTTGTCATTTTATTCCCACACTTTTTTTCCTCAAAAAATTTTTTTCCTTCATTCTCAAACAAAAAAAAACATTTACAAATTTATACTTAACCTTTTTATTTTTCACAAATTTATTTTTCTATTATTTTTTTTTATTTTTAATTTTTTTTATTTTTTTAATTATTTAATTTTCCAAAAAATGTAGAAAAATTAAAAAAATTTTTTTTATTCCAAAAAAATATTTGATTTATTGAACATTTTTGTTAAAAAATATATTTTTTATTTATTATTTTACATAAATTTATTATTTTAAATTTACGTAACTATTAATTACAAAAATAGTTTTTTATTTAAAAATTAATATTTCTTTTAAGAAAAAATATTTGGTAATAATTTTCTTTTAAAATTTATTTTCTAAAATTAGAATATTTTTCAAAAAATAATTTATTGCTTTCTGAGAATAATTTTTATTTTTTTATAAAACATTTAAAATTTCTCACTTTAATATTTAAAATAAATGTTGGATTAAATAAATTTTTGTTGATCTTTAAGCTTTTAAAAATTCTGAAACTTGGGAAATTAATAAATAATTTTTTTAAATTAATTTAGAAAATTGTGTTTTGGTTATTTAAATATTTTTTAGAAATTAATTATTTTTGTTAATTAAAAATTGTAAAATTCTAATTATTTAAATTTAAAAAATACTTAATTTTCATTCTAAAATAATTTTTTTTTGTAATATCGTAAATTAAATAGGCACATCTAAATTTAGGGTAATTAATTAGTTGAGATGAAACCGAAATCAGAAAGTCGAAAATCGGTACTCTTGTGTTATCCGCCCCCATTTTCCTTTTTCCTCATTTGATCGGCTATGACTTTTTTATTCTTAATCCAATTCAAATGAATATTATATTATCGAAAGCTCTCGATAAGCGCTATCTTGTTCCCAAATATCTAGATGGATCAAGTCAAAATTGAAGACTTATCGAGGGCTTTCAAAGAATATAATATTCATTTGAATTGGATCAAGATAAGAAAGTTATAGCAATGCGGAAAAAAGCAAATTGTGGCGGATAACACAAGTGTACCCGAAAATCTGAGGGAACCAATAAAATGTACTAGTCTAAAAGTTTTAAAATATGTCTATAATAATTTATTTTTTTTAATTTCCATTAATTATTTTTTATTTTTAATTAATGACGTTTTCTTTGTTGTTTATCCATCTACTATTATTGTTTCTTTATCCATTTTTAGACACATCCTTCTAGAAAATTTAAGCCAAAAATTCCTTTCTTTTAAAGGTTCGAAGATCACTACTTCTCTCTTATTTAATCAAATATACAAAGTAAATTTATCATGAGTTTTTTTTTCTGTCCCTCATTTTGTTTTCTCTTCCCATTTTTTTCATTTTCTGTCTCCAAAAAATTAAAGCATATTTCACGTGTACACACATACATATGTTATATCTCTTTTTTTATTTCAAGCCAAGTCCAAAACACTATTTTTTAGCAAACAAAACACAAAGAATAGTGGAAAAAAATTAAAAAAAGAATTTTACTCGGATATTCCCCTCAATTCCTTCCCTCATTCCCCTTTGGGAAAATTGGAAAGAATGCAACGGAAGAAGACGGAAGTGGAGTAAAAAAACTAAATAATTCTTATTATTAGCTTCTCAAACATTTCATTTTCTTTCTTTTTTTAAACATTTTTTGGGTTATTTTAAAAATGTTGTACTTTTTATAAGACGAGAGGAAAATTTAAATTATATTTTTGTAAATTTAAATTGTTAAATTATATAAAAATATTATTTTTTTTAAAAGTTTTCCTAAAGAATCTTCATTCTATTTAGCATTTTAATTAAAATATTTTTTTGTCATTTTTCTTCATTTAAAAATCAGAAAAATAAAATGAGTAAAAATCCTAATCAAATATAAACCCGGCTGTATCCCGAGTCTGACAGATTTTAATACGAATATAATATTTCGAGACAATAAAAAGCGAAGTTAGTTTCGGTTTCAAAAAGCGGAAAGCGAAAAATTTTTGAGTTAAACAAAGAAAAAATTGAAAATTTTTAAAGCAAAGCTCGGCCATTCCTGTTTATATTTTGAAGTAAATCTCATTAAATTAATTAATTATTCCATTAATTATTAGAAAGGAATTAAAAGAAAAACTTGGAAAACACCAAAGAAAAAGCAATCTTAAAAAGAAGTTTCTAATTTTAGAATATATAGCTTTCTACTATTTTTTAATCACAATTCTAAACACGTGCCGTATCTACAAATTTTTCTTTTAAATTAATTTATACGTGTTTCAATCTTTTCTTTGTTTATTGTTGTCAATCACTCAATTGGACCCCTAACTCCGACTTCTCAATTGATTATTTACTGCCAGCTGTAAATTGCTTTAGAGAGGGCGAGCGTTTTTGATTTTATTTGTTTTCTTTTTTTAAATTTTCTAACTGTCTCTTTAAATGCTATATATGAGTCTTGAATATTAAATTTAAAACACAATTTTCTGCAAATATTTTAAATTAATAATTCAATCATAATTAATACAATTGTAAAAATATAGCTATTATTTAATTCCTAAGGCAGGGCAGTAGGTCCGGTCTACTGAAGATGCTGGTTTGCTTACAGCCGCCAATTAACCTTTTGCACTAGCTAATGAGAGAAATAGCTAAAGCCCAGCTGCTTTACTATAATAATTATTTTTATTTTATTATTTATTAAATTTAAATTTTAAAATTTATTTTCATTTTATCTCTCCAAATTCTCTTCTGTGTCAATTCCCCTAAAATTAATTTTTTTTCCTAGTTATTTTGTAAAAAATATTAAATTCTTATTCTTAAATACATATTTAAAGTTTTTTTAAATTAATTTAAAACGAAACGGGCACACGAATTAATGAGATATTTAAATTAGAAAAGCTCATTAAAAATAATTTAAAAATTAAATTTTTGTTTTTATTTATTTTTTAAAAATACTTCATTATTTACATCTTTCTTTTTCTTTTCTCATCAATTTTTTCTTTCACGCAACTTTTGTTTCTTTAAATATATATATTTTCTACTAAATACTCTTTAAATAAGCACTTATGGCCAAACATTGATGCTGTCATTTCCCTCCTTTCTTTTTAAAATCCTTCCTCCCCTTGTATTGGCCTAGTAAGTATTTCTATTTCTATTTTATTTCTTTTTTCTATTTTCACATGTATTGGCTGTGTTCGACGTTCTCTTTTTTGCATTCCCACAAACAATCTTCCCCCAACTCTTCTAAATTTGTTCTTTTTTTATTTACAGCCACCCAACACAAACATACATATTTATTTATCTATTTATTCCTTTTTTTTAAATGTTGCCGCGGGAACGCCATTTTAAAAGTATTTTTAAACTTGGAGAGATTTATGTAGAGTCAAAAAAGGAATTAATGATATTTTTATTTTGATTATTTAATTTTTTATTTTATTTTTTAATTAAAAAATTTAAGGGGTAAACAATTTATATATTAAATATATATTTTAAAATTAATTTTTTAAAAATTAAATTATTTATTTTTCACATTCTTTTTGTTAAATAAACAATCATTCTTCTATGTATTTTAACATTTTAATCTCTCAAATTCACCACCACCATCATTTGTTCTTTCAAATATTTTTTTTCAAATATTGTTGCATTCATTCTCTCTTCCATTTTTCTACCAACCGATTCATATTTCTCTTCTTTTTCTACTCTCACGTTCACCTTTTTTTCCAATTTCCTTCCTTCACGTATGTTTAGCTCTTTTAGAGACCTTATTTTAAACACAATTTTTTCTCTTTTTCCATTCATTTTGTCCCTCCCTCCCTTCCCTACTTCAGCCAACAAGAAAAAGAATTTTTGCCGCAAAATAAGCCATCCGTTCTCGGCTGCAGCTGTCTTTTTCATTTTTGACGACTTTCGACCCTCCCTCCTCCTTATAAATAACCCTCATAAAAATAAAAGATGGGAAACAACTCTAAAATAGGCAAGAAATGTGGCACAATAATTTACTGACTTGCTGCATATATTCCTTAAAAAACCTTCACGCTTAATCTTTCTTATTTTCTCCATTTTCTGTTCTTGGTCTTCCTTTTTGGATTTATAGTTGTTACTATTTTAGAATAATCTTTTAGAATATATTTTTGGTTATAAATATACTGCCAAAGCATTGCAGTAATTTTACACAAAAATTGATAGGGTGCTACAATGCTTGGAATTGCCTCCTCATCCTCCTCATCTTCTGCTGCACATTATCAAGAATTTATTAATAGTTTATGTTCTACTTCCTCATTAAACACCTCAGAGGCAAATTAATTTTATTTTTATTCCTTTAAAAATATTTTATTTTAAGCATAAAAGGCAAAACTCAGCTTTTCATTTGCCCTTAAACGAGCAAATGGCAGCAACAGCCATTTCCAACAATCATTCCTTTTCTTCCTCATATTATTCCCCTCCTCCTCCCAATCATCATCATCGCCAACAAAACAAACATTACCTCAAACACCAAAATAAAAAAGAATTATTTTCCTCTATTAATGCATTACTGCCCAGTCATAATCACCAAAATAATCACCAAAAGCAACGACAAAATAATTGTAGTGGGGGTGTTGGAAGTGGAAAAAAGTCTAGAATGGATTATTCTAATGCACTCTGTGCTATTTGTAATGCTCCAGCTGATGGTCAATTAAATTTAATTTTTAATTTAATATTAACCAAAAAATAATATTTTTAATTAAAAAATAATTTTTTTCTCCTATAAAATTAAATAAAAAAATAATAAATAATAAATTATTCTTTTAATTATAATTTTTCCAAATTATTTAAATAAATTTTAAGAAATATTACTTATTTAAAATTAATTAATTTATTTTTTATAATTAAATTTTAATTAAATATTTGGAGAGAAAAGTTTTAAATAATTAACTCGTTTTTAAGTAAATTTTTTTAATTAATAAAATTAATTATGATTTCTGTTTTTTTCCCAAAAAGTTTAACAGATTCTGATTTTTAATGAATTTAATTAAAACTTTTTTTAAAATTATTTTTAAAACTTGAAAATTAAAATTGATTATTTTAGTACGATAAATATTTTTTGATATTTTAAAAAATAAAATAAATTTATCAAAAATTTACATTTTCAGGCCTCCATTATGGAGCAATTTCCTGTCGTAGCTGTAATGCTTTTTTTCGTCGTGCCATTACTTTTAAGCAGGCAAATAATTAAATAAATAATTTAAAAAAATATATTAAATATAGAATTTCCTCTGCCGAAAAGGAGGCAATTGTGATGTGGATGTAAGTGTTCGTTGTGCTTGTCGAGCTTGTCGTTTAACGAGATGCAAAGCTGCTGGGATGCGTGAATCGGGTAATTAAAAAGAATTTTTTTAAATAAATTTATTATTTCTTTGAAGATGTTCAACCAAAAAGAGACCCTACAGGAAGTCAAAAGAATCGCCGTGCACCTCAAAGACGTCGGGGATCAGCTGCTGCCTCACTCTTACTTGTTCCAAAAAGAGAGACTCTTCCAATTTTTGATAATAATAATACAGACGGGGGTTTTGAACCTAAAATAAAATGAAAAAAAATTCTTTCTAATTTTCTAGGATCTCCAAATACTCCTTTACCTTCTCTCTCATGTTTTGAGAAAATATTAAATAATGGAACTTTGTATCATCCAATTTCTACAATTTGTCCTTCTAATGGAACTGAAGGTTAAAAAAATAAATAAAAAATATGTAAATTTAATTTTCAGAAAATGGTTACCAAACAATTCATTCTCCATCTACCTCATCATTCCCTCCTTCTGCTGAATCTGGAATTTTTGATGAAAACGGTGCTGCTGTCCAATTTGTGAAAACTATTAAAAAAGAAGTAGTTGAAGAAGATGACGAATCTGATGATGAAGAGGAAGATGGAGAAGAAGAGGAGGAGGAGGAAGATTGGGAAGGGGGAGGGAATGGAAGAATGACAAATACAAGACGAACAAGTGATCTCAGTGCAAGTACAACAAGTACTAGTATTTTAAATAGAAGTGATGATGAAATTAGACAAAGAAGAAGAAAAAGGTGTCTTTAAAATGTCCTTTAAAATTTTTAAAAAATATTTTTTTAGATCAACAAAAACAACAAATAATTATCAACAATTAAATATTCAACAAAATTTAAATCAAAATTTAATTTTATTAAAACCATCAATTTCCACAATTGGAATTAACGAGAAAGAATTGGAAATACGTGAACAACAAACAGAATTTGAACGTTTAGTTAATGATTATTCTGAACATTTGCGTTGTATGAATCGTTTATTGACGCCTATAGAACATTTTTTAACTGAACAAGTTTGCTAGGGGAAATTTAATTTAAAATAAATTTATTTTTTAAAAAGAATTCTTCTTGGAGAACAATTGAACCAACAGATGTTGAACAATTAAGTAAAGTTGAATTGGGTGGACTTATGTATTGGATTGAGAAATTAACACCTTTTAGACAACTTGACATTAAAGATAGAGAAATACTTTTTAAGGTGGAGTTTTTAATTAATATTTGGTTGATATAATCAGACATTATTTTTTAAAGAATTCATTATATGATATCGTAATATTATAGGATATATTTATAATTATAGGATATCGATATGATTAATAATAATCATTATAGGATATCCTCCAATAGTAGATAACCTCCATTTAAGATACCTACATTTTTAAAAACTTTGCCTGTGACGGAGCGAAAATACCATGCCTTAATTCTTATAGGAGGATCCGATTAAATTGAGTTAAACTTGACAAAACAGCGAAATATTTAATCTTAAGATAAGCATAAATTTATCTTAATTTCAACAAATTAAAAATTTCCAGCGTTATTCTGTTCGAAAACTTTCACTAGACCATTTCTATACAGCATCTAAATATCCCGAATTAATTGAAAAAGGATATTTTGCAATGATTAATAATACTTATGTTCCTCCTGACAAAACTGGTTTTGAGACATTAACAGACGATAAAAGAACTAGAGAAGCTAAATTTGAGTAAGTTTTTATCCAAATATTTTTAAATTTTTTAAAGTATTTTACGTCCAACAATTGATCGTTTATGGCATACATTAGTCCTTCCATTTTCAAATCTTCGAATTAATGATGCAGAAATTGTTGCACTTCATTTACTTTTAATGTGGAGTCCAAGCAGTTTTGTCTTTTAAATTTAAATAAAATCTCCACCTCTCTCTCATTAGATAATAGACATATAACTCCAAAAACTCGTCAATTAATGTCTTCACGTAGAGACTGGGCAATTCAACGTCTTTTTAATTATTATCAAAATATTGGAATTGAGGAACCAGAAGTTCGTTTGGGTGAAATATTATTGTTATTACCTGAATTGGAGGTATTACTTTGAGTTATTTAATTTAAATTAATTTTTTTAAAAGGTAATTTGTGACAAACATTGCAAAGATTTTCAAGTAAATAAATATGATTAATTAAAAAAATTATTTTTTTAAAAAAGGTTGCACAATTTTTTGAATTTTGCAATATGTCTGAATATTGGTATGAGAATTATTGTTATACAACTTTAAATATTGCTGCAGCAATTTAGAGTGGGAAAGAGGGGGAAAATGTTTTTTTAGAAATTAAATAACCTCTTTTTTGAAATTGAAAAATGCTGGATTTTTTGAAAAATTTAAAAAAAATTTTTTTCAAAATTTATTTACTAAAATAATTTGATAGAAGTATTACCCCCTATTAAGAAATAATTTTAAAATTTTCCAAAAAAATCCAACATTTATTTTTTTTAAATTAACAACGCAAATCCTCATTCATTTATTTTTTTAATTATTTTCATTCTCTTCTATAACCATAAAAACACTTTATATATCCTCATTATTTATCCTCAATTTTTCTTTACCCTGCCGCGTGTTGATTCTTTTTTTGAATTATTTTTTAAAAAAATATATTTAAATTGTTAAATTTAAATTTTTTAGTTATTTTTTCCTTTTTCTTTTTTTTACACACACAGGCACATTTTTAGATTTTTTTTCTTTTAAATTTTTTTTGAATTATTATTTTTGTTGTAGATTTAAAATAAATACAGGGAAATTAATTAATTATTGTAGTAATTAAAGAAATCTGTTATTAATATTTTCTAAAATAATCTGAATTTGACATTAACTGGAGAACCCTTTCTCCTTTCTTATATTATGAGGCTGATTGTTAATTGAAGGAAGACAAATTAATATTAATTTAACACAAAAATAAATTAATAACAGATTTTTTTAAATTTTTATTAATCGAATTAAAATTTTATTTTTTTTACCTAACCCACATATTCTTTTTTATCTTTAAATTTACATATATATTTATATTTTAAAATATCCTCAACGATTAATTTTTAGATTTTTATTTTAAACTTTATATTTTTGTAAATCCTTCATTAAAAGTTCCGGTGAAAAGAAGGAAGAAAAAAAAAGATAAATATTTTATTTTATAAAAACACACACAAATATATACCCTCAAAACTTTTTCGTGATAATCGTCAAACAATCAGAGAATGTTTTTATAATTTTTAAATGGAATTTTAAAAAATAATTTTTTTTAAAGTCAAAACAACATTCCTTTGTTTGTCAATTTAATTAAAACTGTTGTATGTAGTTATTTCTATAGATTTTATTTAGAGTTGTCTGTGTGTAAAATAAATAAATATTTTTTAGATTATTATTTTATTTATTTAAAAAAATAATATTTAGTAATTAAAAATAAGGCTTTTTCCTTAAAGTTTTTTTATAAAACAGAAAATAATAATTAATGGAAATTAATTAAAATATAAAAGAATTATTAAAGCCAAAAAAGAAATTAAGAGAGTATTTCGAAATGTTTTCTCGTCATTTAAAGGGGTGTTAATAATGATCGAAGAAAAGGTCTAGCCAATTGTCGTCCCAAATAACTTAAATGATTTGTATCAAAGAAAATAGCCAATTTTGTTGTTTCATCAAAAGCAGCACAACGATCATTTGTTGAATTACAAAAATGTGAAGATAAATCATAAACTAAACATTTTTGGCAATTTAAATGTTCAAGACGTTGATATGACCAATTATTCTTTTTTAAATGTTCCTAAAAATTATAATTTAATTTTTAAAATTATAATTTATTTTAAAAAATATTCTGAATACTTTATAGGAAATATGTAATTGCTCCAATTCTGCCCCTCTCCAAAGTCTTTTTGCTAATTCTCTCGATGTTTCATATTTAAATAATAAATTGGGGGCTGGAAAGAATATCTGTATTTTAACATTTTTCTGAATTTCTGAAAGAAAAGAATTTATAAGGCCAAGTATTTCATCATTATCAGCATCATTAAAAGGCTGTTCTTCAAATGAACCATACCACCTATAAAATAGATTTTAAAAAATCTAGAAAAATTTATTTTAATTACCTAAAAGCTATAAATAAATAATCTGGCTGGATAGTTTCAATAGCTTCTTTAACTAATTGAGAGTAAGTAGAGCAAGCTTTAAATGGCATTTGATGGTCAGGGGTAACAAAAGATAAATGTTCAGGAACATAGAAAGGCACACAGCCTAAGAAATATAATTTCAAATTTTTAGAAATTCTTTTAAAAATTCTTTTAAAAATTACCAGGGGCAGTAAACATATGAAAAACCGAATAATTTTGTTTAAATTCATCTTGTAATTCACGTGAAATTATATCTGCATGACTATTTCCAACAAGCAAAAAAGTCTTTGAATCTTTTCCCTCTCCACGTGATTTTCTTTCAATAACTGCTTTGAGGAAATTTCGTTCCTCTGGAACCATTTTAGCGAATTTTCCAATCCAACGGTTAGTCAAAACCTCTCCCGGCAATATTTTATATCTATCCTCGTATGTAGCACTTTGAAGTATTTCGTTAATTCGAATTTTTTCATAAAGTGATAAAGTATTGGCTAAACGAGAATGCCCTTCTGGAGACTTTAAATGAAATAAATTAAAGAAAAATATTAGAATCAAACAACAACTTTAACAATGTCATCAATAATTAATCGGGTAAAGTTAACATCAATAGTCACAGCTATCCCTCCCAAAGAGCCATCAAAATCTTTTGTTACAGCAACTCTCTAATTTTTAATAAATTAAATTTATAAGAATTTTTTTAAACTTCATTTTGTCCAGAATAATAAGTTGGAAGTAATTGAAAAAAGCAGAAAGCGTAGAAAATACCAATGAGAAAAGTTACCGAACAAAAACTTTTTAGTTTACGAATTTGGGCATCCACTAATATTTCAACAATAAATGCAATAAATAATGTTAAAATAAATGTAGCTATTCCATCTTTTAAAATATTAAAATTAAATTTCTGATATATTTAATTCCCTCTTACATTTAAAAGAAAACTCATCAATAGTAAAGAAATATTTCAAAAACAAAATTGTTGGCCAATGAATTAAATACCAAACATAAGAAATATCCCCCAACCAAACAAATAATTTATTTGTTAAAAACAAATAAATTAACCAATTATTATTTTGTAAAAATAAAATAATTGAAGTAAAAATAACCACAAAAGAGCTTTGAAATGGGCGTAAATAAATTGGAATTGATAAAAATGGGAAAAATAAAAGAATAATTAAAATAATTAAAATAATATTTGGAATTAAATATTTTAATAAAAAATTAATAAAATTATAATTAGTATTTTGGTGTTTCTAAAAAAATAAAAAATATAGGAAAAAATATAAAAATATTTTTTACATTTTCTATTGATGGTGAACGACTTGATATTTGAATATTATTGTTAATAATTGTTTGTTGTTTTTGACAATTAAATATATCATCTATAATTTATTTTAAATTAAAAAATGCCGTATTTTCTCGATTAATACTCCTCCCTCGAATAATTCCCCCTCTCGATTAATTCTCCATGCTAGAGCTGGGTTGAAATAATAATTCCCCACACCCAAATACCATACTGCGCGTTCAAATGCCAAAACTCAAATAATTCCTCTCCCTCGATTAATTCCCCATGCCAAGGAAGGGTTGAAAAAATAATTCACCAGGGCAATACGGTAAATAATTTAAAAAATTAACCCGATTGATTACAATGTGCCAAAATATACGGCCAAACAATTATTTTATTATTATTTTTATTATTATTTATTTCTTCCGCTCCTTTCTCGTTATTTTCAATTAAATAATCATTTGTTAATAAATAACTTATAATTCCTGCTATAAATTGCCAAAGACGGCAAAATATAAATCCAAAACTAATTGAAGAACCAAAATATAAATAAATAAATTGTTGAGAAATTAATGATAAAATTAAAAGTATAGAACAAAAAATGAAACGCCGAAAATTTTGTTTTAAAATAATTGAAGGGAAAATATTAGTAGAAGAAGAAGTTTGTTTTTTAGAATTTCCAAAATAATTAATGATAAACATTAAAATTGGTGATAATAAATAAAATTGAATTTCAACTCCTAATGACCATGTATGCAGAAAGGGGCGATATGAAAATACCTGATAATTATTAATTTGTTAATAAAAATCATATAAAAATTAAATATTTAATTTTTATACTCTAGTTAATATTAATAAATAGTTAAGGAATTAAGAGGTTAATATATCAGTTCAAAAAAATGGAAATTTAAAGTACCTCATTTAAATAATTTTTTTCAGATAATATAAAGGGGTGTCGAACCAACCTGAAGAAACGTAGATTTTTAAAAACGCTGAAACATGTTAAAAGAGATACGAATTAAGCTTAATGCATATATAAGTATCTATAAAGTATTTATCCAAAACATGCTAAACCGGCAAAACTTATTGCGCAGCCTAATTATTAAAATATTTTCCAAGAACCAACAACCCCAATTAATTTATATTTATATCTTCATTAAACCTCAGTAAAATAATCTTTAGAATTCAAAAACAATGATTGTAAATTTGTTACAAAACCAAGACTCCAATACATATCCAGTCTAGCCTGTTGGAAGTCAGATTCAAGCATAATAGTACGTGAAATACTTTAAAATAATAATTATTTTTTAATTAATTTAAAAATACCTAGCTGTAGCACAAACAACACCTAAATAAATAGGCACAATTCTTTGTATTCGTCTCTTATAAAAATCCAAAATTGTCTCAAATAATTTCGGGAAACTCAAACTATTTGTCCCTATATTTTGTAAACATTTAGCAATTAAATAGCCAGAAATAACAAAAAATCTGAGAATAATATTAAATAAAAAAATATTTTAAAGAAAAACATACACATCAACACCTAAAAATCCATTAGGAAAATTAAGAGGCCAAATATGATATAAAATCACAGAAATAATTGAAATAGCTCGAAGTCCTTGAATATCAGCACGCTTCATTATTTTCTACTCGATAAATTAAATTAATTATTTTTAAAAATATTTTTTGTTTAATTTTTATAAATAAATAAATTTATAATAAAATTTTTAAAAGTTGAAGATGAATTAAAATAAATTTAAGAGAAATTTCAAGAAGCAAATAACGCAATTGAAAGGAAGATGAAAAGATTTTTAATTTAAATTTTTGTAAATAGAAGAGAGAAAACATTCTTCTTCCCCTCTTCTCTATTCTTAAAAGGAAGAGCGAAATTTTGATTTGAAGATGGTTAACATTATTTATAAAATTGTGTCAATTATTTAAATTAAAAATATTTAATTTTATTAATTAAAAGATTTATTAAGAAATAAATTAAAGATTAAATAAATAAATACTTATAGCTAACAATAAATAAATACATGTTATTAGTCAATTAATTAGTAGCCAGTCAGTCAAAACTAGCCTTTAATTTTTTATAATTTATTAGGCTCTTGTTGCTTTAAGTTATTTTGTATTTAATTTATGTCTAAAATTATGTATGAAAAATAATAATTAAAATGTTAGTTAAGTGTTCATTTTTTATAACAGAGAAAGTCTGTTATAAAGGGAGATATGTATTTAGGAAGATACTTTAGAGATCGGTCTGGATCCAATCTGGATTTTTCCTGGATCCAGTTCAAGAATCCTGTCCAGGTCACTAACCTAAATCCAGAATCCAGATCCAGGATTTTTGAAAATACCAATCTCTAGTATACTTATTTAATTTTATTACTCTTATTTAAATTTCATTAATTATAATATTTCCAAAAATATTTATTTATATGTCAACAACCCTTTCATTTCCCTTCTCTTTTTTTGTAAACTTTCATCATTAACCGCAACTTTTCTATAGCTTAAATAAAATTGTTTTTATTACACGTTTTTTTATTTGATTTTGAGTGACCAAACCGTCAAAGCCAATTGCACAATTTTAAATGAGGATGAATTAAAAAAGAAAGTTTGCTCTAAATAAATAAAAAAATAGGGTCAAAATGTTTTAAAATTAAAAAAAAATAAAAAATAGCTTATACGGAATTAAAAATATAATAATGAACCTATTAGATAGATAACAGATATATAGTAATAGAGTCCTTATCATTACGTTTCTAAATCGAAATTTTTTATTAAATATAAATCTTGAATTATTTTTAATAAAAATTATTTCTGAGAATTATCTTTTTCACATTTTAATAGAAATGCTGGTAAATCAATTATAACTACAAAAATACAAAATAATTTATTTAGGTAATATTATCCTCTCAAAATTTTATTTTTCCTATTTTATGATTCGGAAGTTAAGATCAATCTTAAGACCGAAAGATACAAAAAATATTACTTTATGCAATATTTATTCAAAAATTAATGAATTTTTTATATAAAATTTCTATTATTAACTACGAATTAAATAAAATTAAATATTTTTTAAAATCATAATTAAAAATAAATGTTTCGTTTAAATTAATTCTTTTTAATTTCAAAAATTGATTTAAAAATCTCATAAAATTCTTCCTTCGATAATCCTTCAATTTGTGTTTTTAACTTAAAATAGAAATTTATATGTATGTATTATTATTTTTAAATAATTTAATTTTATTAAAATTTTAAATAAATTTTTATTCAATTGAAAAGTTTTTAAAATAAAATTTAAAAAATTCTGACCTCAGGACGTAAATTTCCATGATTCTGAAATTTTGATATAATCATGATACTAATTTAAATTAATAGTTGTCTAGTTTTTTCCTTATCTAGTTTTTTTTTCTAAAGTCGGTTAATCCTTTTATGGCCATCTAGTGCAGGTAAACCAAAATTTTTAGCTAAAATACCCGTGATCATTGATTAAATGACCAGATAATCACCGATAGCTAATTTTTTGTCAAACTTATTTAGTAATTAAATATTTTTCTTAAAAGCAAAAAAGAAAAATGAAATAAACAAACATGTAAATAATTTCCTTCATTGTTTTCAATAATTATTTCTTTCGCTTTATTCCATATCGGGAAATAATAATTTTGGTAATTTAATATTTTTTGATTTAATTCTTTAATCTTTATTTTTCTTTTATTTATTTTTTCTTCAATTTCATCAACACAAATTAATTCTTGAGAATCATTATTAATCATTTTCCTTAATTTAATAATCCTTTTCTTTTCGTATTTTATCAAACGCTCAATTAAAAAGTTTCCAAAAGATAGTAACATTCCAAATTGACAAAATTGTCTATTTGAATATATTTGCTTAAAAATAGGTGAAAAAATTAATTTATATTTTAAATTAGGTAATTAGTAATTTTGTTGAAATAAAATAAGTTTTATAAAAATAGGTATATTTACGAATTCAATAATGGAAGGAAAAGTCTTCAATAGTATATATTTTAAAACTCCCTATGATTATAGTTTTATTAAAACTTCAAGAGCTATCCGAAATTCAAAATCTATTAATTTGGCTAGTTTATTAATTTAAAAATTAAATTATTTACAGCATCATTTTTCTCAATTTCTTCTTCAATATTTATCCAATTATTGCAATCCATCTCAATTTTATTTTTCAATATCTTTGATAAATATACACCTGTCTGTATATCTGATAGCTCAATTTCAAAAAGTAAATTATTTAAAACAAGCTCATTCATTTTAAGTAGAATATCTGCATACTAAAAAATACATTATTAGATTTTATTAATAAATTCATTGGGGTAATATTTTTATCATAGCTAAAAATTTTATCTAATATAATTAACATGAATAAAAGAGTTTAAAAAATTAAAAAATAAAAATAAACAAACAAATTGAATATTTTCAAGAGGTGGACGATGTTCAGTTAATTTATCAAAATATTTGGAAATAATTTCAACAAAATGCTCAACTTCATTTGGCTTAAATGTAATTCGAACATTTATTAATTCACTCGTTTTTCCATCAAATACGTTCATTGGCATCTCCTCTAGAATTTCCCTTAACTAAAAATAAATAAATATTTCACCTACAATTAGCTACATTTCCTTTTTTAAACAAATTTTTTGTTTACCTCCTCTTGTAATCTGAGATTTTTTCAAATCGGTATGGATAAACAAAACCCTTTAGATTATTTTGACCATAATCAATTTAATAAAAAAAAAGTTTAATTATTTTTTCTTTATAGACAAGCCTAATAATCATTAATATTTTTTATAAAACATACATTATTATTTTTAATTTTTTCATTTTCGTCTTCAATTAAAATTCTTCTCATTTCTTCAATTACTGGAGTAATATAATTAATTGAATTATTTTTTATTTGATTAAATTCAATCTTTTTATAATTATATCCATTTACTCCTTTATTTATTCCTTTAATTATATCATCATTTGAAGTAATTTCATTTAAAATATAATTAGCAGCTGAAAGTAACATTGCAGTGCCACAATAAAATCTTGCTTTAACATATTCTTCTTTTTCCTTTTTAAGAAAAAATTTTTTTTATATTTTCAAAAATAAAAATTTTAAAATTATTAAACATATAAATAATATTTTTTTACTTAAATATCGAAAATATTAATTTATTAAAAAATCATTTTAATTAGATCTCTATGAGAAAGTTTTATTTATTTACCTCAAAAATCTCTCTAAAAGTTCGACTATTTGTATTCAAATCATCTTCTTTGATTTTGTCTTTACAATAAGAGAATAATTTGTGCATTGTTCTCTTCATTTTATTGTATAAAGTAAATCTTAAAGAATCCAATAGTTGAATTCTTTTATTTTTACTTAACAATCTTTTTGCATTCTAAATTAATTAGTAAATGTATTTGACAAAAATTAATAAAATTTTTGTGGAATTTTATTTTTAAGCTAGGTATTTTTCTTTTGATTTTTAACTAAGCTTTCGCGATCTTAAATTTTCAAAATACTGTCTCGTCTCTGAAAATCCTTTTTCACGTGAAAACGTCATAAATGAATTTGAAATTCATTTAAAATGGTAATTATATCCTTTTTCAAACCCATTTAGTTTTTTTTATAAATTTAAATATTTTTTTAATTAAAATATACATTATATATATTTTCCATATCCCAAACATCAGATGTCGTTATAGCGTCCAAACTTTCAACAAAAATTTTTGTAAAATATGCTGCATGTAAGTGATTAAAAATTATTTTTTCTGAATTTAATTGATTATTATCATCATCACTATTTAATAAATTCTCAAAAGGGTCATCAAATCCTTAAAATTAAATAAATTTATTTTAATTATTTTTATTTTTATTAAAAATACCTCGTTCACTTGATGTGCTTGCAATCATAGTCGGTTCTCCGATTAAATCTGATAAACAAAAATTTTTATAATTTTTGAAACAAAAAATTAAAAAATTAAAAAAAAACAAAAATTCTATACAAACAAAAACTAAATATAAAACAAAGAATTTTTCATTAATTTCTTTCATTATATTTTAAAAATATAACTTACTGTATTGTGGTCTGCGTCCTCCAAGACAATCTGAATAAAAATTAAAGTTAAATTAATTAAATTAATTAATAAATTAATCAAGCTGCTCAAAATTTGTAAAATTTTTATTAACAAATTTAATTCAACTTTTATTAATTTTTTATTTGAAAATTAATTACTTCCTCCACAGACTTCTTCGAAATTTGAAAATATTTTTAAAATAAAAAATATAAAAATAAAAAGATTTTTAAAAATTATTTTATTTTCCATTTTATTTTTTCTAAAAATTATTTTTCTAATTAAACAAAGATTTTTATTAAAAATAATATTAAATAGGAATCAGTAATTTAATTAAATAATTTATTTAAAAAATATATAAAATAAAATAATATAAAATATTTTCCCCTTTATTTATAATGAAAATTACCGGATAAAGAGTGCAATGCACTTTAAGGAATTTAAAAATTAGACAAAAAAAGTCAAATAATGAAGTCGTGAGTTTATGTGAAATTTTATTTAGAAATAAATAAAAATATTTTTTAACAGGAAGTTTTTTTTAAAATTTAATTTTGAAACAAAAAATTGTCTTTCTTGCATTTTTTATTCCTTATGATTGATATCGTGTATTTGGTTTTATATCAGTTTCTAGTCAATGTATCAAATATGCTCTGGGTTTTGATCAAGCTATGTGTATAGTTTACTAAAAAATTTTAGGAATTAAATAGAAAATATTTACTATTATGTTATTTATAATTTACATAAATAATCTTTCAATAATTATAAGTAAGTACCAAAGCTTATTTAGCATCAGCACAAATCGGCATTAAAAATCTTTAAAAATGTTTAATCGTTTTAAATCAAATGATTTAATTGTTAAAATGATTTTTCAATTTAATGGAATCGAAAATAAAATTTTAAAGGTAGAATGTAACTTACATTTAATTAATTGTTTATTTAATGTTTAATTAAAACAAACTATAATTTAAATAAATAAATTTAAATATGGAAAAAATTAAAATATTATATAATATTTATGACAATCAGAGATATATGGATCAAGTTGAACAAATTCCTTGAATTTACATGCTGCTACGAAATCTTTATAATATTTTCCAGAAATTTTAATATTTATGATGTCATTTTTCAACATTGATAGAAAAGTTTTAAATAAAAAATAAACTATGTTCTAATTTAAATTTTAAAATTAAGTTTTAAAATAATATAAATTTTTAAAAAATTAAAAGTCTTGAATCTGAATTTAAATTGCCTATCTAACTTTTTAAAGGATAAAGTAATTATGATTTTAATTATAAGTTATGATTTTTCTCTGCAATTTTTTAAAATTAGAACTAGTAAATTCTTCGTGTTTCTGGCACGTTTTATTTTAAAAATTTTCGCCTGCAGTGTTAAAAAGTATTGTTTTTCAACTCAACATAAATTCTTGAACACATAAAATAAGAAATATTCAATTTCAAATTTACTAAAAAAATATTTACAAAACTAAAAATTCCATTCATACAAAATAAAAAAAAATGTTTGTATGTAAATTTCATTTCTTAATTGCATAAATTGATTCAAAAACATAATTGAATTTTTGAAATGACAATTGCTCAATCTGGGTTTTTATCTAAAAATAATAATTTTATTTTAATTAAAACAATAATTAAATGAAATTTAGAAAAATTAGAATAAAATTCAGAATTATTATTAATTAAATATACCTCGTCTTGAAGATTGGAATAAACCTAAAAATGAAAGAAAATCAGAATTATAGTTTAAGGAGTAAAGCTCATAACAAGCTATAATCAAAGCTATAATTCAAAAAGCATAAGCAAAAAATTTATTCAAAACAGGAACAAAATTCTTAATTATTTTGTTAAAAAAATAAAATATACTACCTCTACTACTTCATTTTTATTTTCAATAATTTCATTTCCAATTATAATATCTTTTGCTTTATTCCAAATAGGGAAATAATAATTTTCATAATTTAATATATTTCCTTCCAATTTAGTTATTTTAGCTTTTATCTTCTCTTTTTTCTCTTTAATTAAAGCTGCATTAAATCCAATTTGAATACTATCTTTAATCATCTTTTCGTTTTCAATAATTGATTTCTTTTTAAATTCAATCAAATGATCACTGAAAAATTTTCCCAGACAAATTAACATTCCAATTTTGCAGAATCGTTTAACGGCAGTTATTTTCTTTAAAAAATAGTAAAATTAACACAAATAAAGATTTCTCTTTAATAATTTATTTCGATAACCAATTAATTAATAATTTTATTTTTTTAAAGATTATTTTATAAAATAACCTCATTATTTTCATTATTTTCCCCAATTTTTTCTTCACTATTTATCCAATTATTACAATCCATTGCAATTTTATCCTTCAATATTTTTGATAAATAAATACCAATCTGAACACTTGCTTTGCTTAATTTGGTATATAAACGATTCAAGCCTATCCAATTAATTTTTAATAGCTTTTCTGCATACTGTAGAAATGATAAACATTTATTTTTTATTTAGATTTAGTTTTAATTGCGCAGGCTTACGGGTTCGGATGGGCAAATCCCGAGTCCTTCGGGCTTTATTGTATTAAACTGCACAACCAGGCCTGGACCTTATCTGAAAAATTCAAACACAGGCCGGGTCTAGTTTTGGATTGATTTGGAAATTTGTAACTCTGGTTAAAAGTTATATTAAGAAAGATTACTTTTCTTCATTACTGAATACCCAACCTAAAAAATCTTATATACTAAATAACAATTTAAAAAATATTTAATATAACAAACAAATTTTATTTTATCGTGTTCTTGATTTCCCATTAATTTATTTAAATATGTAAATATAATTTCAACAAAATTTTTAACTTCAGTTGGATCAAATGTAATCCGTAATTTAATAAATTCACTCATTTTTTCATCAAAATTTTCTGCAGTCATCTCTTTTCCAAAAATTTCTCTCAACTAAATAATAATTATAATATGAAAAAAAACATTAAAAATATTGAGAAAAGTAATTCTTTAGATTTTTGAAAATAGTAGATAATTTTGCTTCTTAAGGTTTTCTGATTCTTTAGGTTTTAGGTTCCGAATTATTCAGTGACTAATACCTAACAATAATGTTAACCCATTTTATACCTTTAAATCTTTAAATTTAAGCTTTTCATCTTCTAAAAGAATTTTTCTCATTTCTTCAACAATGGGTGTCAAATGATTTTTCGAATTATTAAATCTTTGAGAAAATTCTTTTCTTGTAAATTCAATCCCTTTAATGCTTCCATTTATTGCTTTTATTATATCATCATTTTCAATAATTTTTTCTAATAAATAATTAGTAGCAGACAAAAACATTCCAAGCCGACAATAAAAATAGGCCATTTTATATTCATCATCTGCCTAAATTATTTTATAAAATTTCTTTGTATTTTCCTTTTTACCTCTTCCAAATTTTTATTTTCACTATCAGTTTGAATTATTTCATCACAATATGAATATAATTTAAATGATGTTCTAGGCATACGAGTATGAATATTTGTTTCCAATAAATAAACAAGATGATGTCTTACTTCTATTAAAAGCTTGGCACTCTAAATAATTTAAAATTAATTTTTTAAATAAATATTTTGATATTTATTTATAGAAAGTCTAATTATTGGTTGTTTTTGATTTATATTTAGCTAAAAAAAATAATTTATAATTCTAATCAGAATTAGTGCTATATTCGCATGCCTGAACCTCTAGTGTAATTAATATTTTACATATATTCTATAAAAAACAAAACTGAAAAATCTTAGACTACTTAATTTAATAAAGAATGAATGTGCTATTAATTTCTGATTATACTGGTAATAATGTGTGTAATAATTTAAATTATTATTTTTAATTTTTGATTATTTTTGATATATTTTTGATTATAAATAAGATTTTACTTTATTTTTGTCTGTAAAATCCAAGTTAACATCACCAGTCAATAAATTATCCAAAATTCTAATGACCATATTTGTAAACATATCTGCTTGGATGTGACTGACAACTATTTTTTCTGCAAGTATTTGATCGTGCTCATTAAGCAATGGATCTTCATAACAATTAAGCACTTAATTATTTAATAATTAAATTAATTAAAAAATATTTTTACTTGAAGAAGTTGAACTGCTAGCGATCATTGATTGATCTACTGGTTGTTGAGGCCCCTGCTGTCTTGGTGTTTCTCCCACTGTGTCATTTGTTTCTATTTAAATTTAATTAATAAATATTATTATAGGCTTAGAATTTTGAAAAAATTTAAATATAAAACTACCATTATTCCGATCGAACGATAGACCAAAACAACTAAAACAATCTGAAAATAGATGGAAAATTAATTAATTAAAAAATAAACAAAGGAAAGATTGTCACAATACTCGAATTAAGCTGAATTAGAAATTTCTTGAAATAATCTAAATCATATCTAATTTGTAAAGAGGATATGGCTAATTTAACATAATATTATAAGGCATAGCTATTTAATTCCTAAGAATATGCAGCAGGCGGCGTGGTTAATGGATAACACATCAGTCCGGCCTACCGAAGATGCTCGTTCAGATCCAGCCGCCAAATAATTTTTTACACTAGCTGAAGGAGAGAAATAGCTATAGCCCAGCTACTTTACTATATCCTATTACAAAATATAATATACCTACTTCCTCCATAAACATTCTCAATTTGTGAGAATAAAAAAATTAAAATAAAAATATTAAAAATAATTTTAATATCCATTATTGAAGTATGCTTCTTCTCGAAAAAGAGATAAATATTTATCTATTTATAGCTAGGAAAAGCTAAAAATTCAATTATATGTTGATGTTTAAAACATGTGTAGCTATTTCTTTATTTATAAAAAATTAACCGAAAACAGTATATATCCGGTAAAAATTTTTTAAGAGTAAAAGGGCATTAATTATGTAAAATTAAATAAAAGTGCTTTACACTTACAAATTAATTGCACTTCCTTTTAATTATTTAAATGAATGCCAATCGGGGAAATTAAGAAATAGTAAAACACATGCTAATGTGAAAAATTGAGAGGAAGTTTGTTAGGAAATGCCTTTAGAATAAAGTGCATCGGAAGATATTTGATTTTTTTGTTAAATAAATAGAGGTTGTTAGATCCTCGAAAATTTTCGAAAATCTGAAAAACAATCATTACAAACCTTGGAAATCTCAAAAACTAAGGTTGTTATTACTACTTTTTTGTTGTTTTACCTAATTTGATTTTATTTTTTACTTTATTTTCATGTTTTTATGAACAACTTTTTTTAAACACTTTAAATATTTTTTTAAAAATTAAATATTATTCTAACGATCAAGATTGGAGTTCAAGATTATTAATAATTCCTTACACTTACATTAATATTTAAATAGAAAAATTAAACTTAAATTAAATAGTTCTTTGATGTTTTACCTAATTTATTTTTAAATAATTTTATTAAAATCTTCAGAATATTCTGAAATGTTTTTGTTTATAAATTAAATTTTGCTAGAACAGAAGAATTAAATTATTTAAATTTTAAATAATTAAAAAAACTAAATAAAAATTCTAATGAATTAAAGAAATGCTTTATTTCAAAAAATTTATAAAAACATTATTATCAAAATTACAAAAATGAATTTTATGGAAAAAAAGTTAATAAAATTTTTACAATGTTTTAAATTTATTTTAAAAAATGTATATTTTTGAGAATTAAATAAACACTGTATTTCCTAAAATAAGCAACTACCTTTGGAGTAGTTCAAAAAATTATTTTAGGAAATATAGCAATAAAGCTACAAAAATGGCGAGAGAAGGCAAAAAAAGGATTTTATTTTAAAATATTATTCCTTTTCTTTTCTTCTTCCAATTTCTTCACAATCTTCATTTTGTTGCAATACAAATTGTGTTGTTATATCATTTTCCAAAAGTGGCAATTTTTGTTGTTCTACACTTATTTTTTGTTGTTTTTCTTGATTTTCTGCATCATTAGAAGAATAATCAAAATCGTCTTTTGCCCATTCTTGAACTTCGGCACTAGCAAAGAATGAAAATATCAATGCCCCAACAACCAAAATAAATGCTGTAACATAAAAAACAAGTAACCATTCTTCTTTTGAACCCTTTAAAAAGCAAATATATTTTAAAAAATTCTGAATATTCTCATACATTTGGTGTTAACCACCCCATAATTATCGGTGATAAAAGACCAGCCAAGCATGACAAAGTATTGCCAATTCCTAGAACAAATCCTGACAATTCTGGACAAATATCCATATAATTAACAACAAAACCAGCATATTGAAAACCAGAAATTCCAGTGGAAAGAATTAATAGAAGAATTACCTTCAAAAATATGTTAAGATTAATTTAATTTATTTTTCTAACTAAATTGTGTTGATGACATCCACAATAGCCTATAGCAACAAGCATTAAAGCCTGCCCTCCAAAGGCTATCAACATGGCTAAACGGCGACAATTTAATGTTGAGAAAACACCTTTTTGTTGGAGTTTATCGGCAAACTTAAAAGGAAAAAAAATAATTTATAAAAATTATTATTTCTGCACTAACATGTCCACCAATATTTATAAAAGCAAAATATGCCAAATATGGAAGGGCAGACACAATTCCCATCTAAATTTATTTGATATTTAAAAACAAATTTTTTTAAATTACAGATGTTAGTTGCAATCCTAAAACATCATTTAAGAAGGATGGAATGCCCAAAGCCATTGTATATGAACCTAAAAATAAATAATTTAAATTAATTTTTAAATTAATTTAATTACCCCAATCACCAGCAAAATGTCCAACAAAAATTGCCCAAACTGGTTTGGACGTTAAAATTGAATAAAGAGGAATTGGACGTCTTTTAATTTCGATAGGAGAATTATTTTCCTTTAAATTATTTTTTTTTCAAATTTTCGAAATTTAAAAACTTTATTTTTCCCCAAACTTTCAAGAATATATTCTCTTTCATTTTCTTTAATTGTTTTATGTTTTTGTGGAGAATCAGCACCAATTAGAAACCAAATTAAACACCAAAAAAGTCCAATAGCTCCAAACAAATAAAATATTGAAGGCCAGCCACCATCAAAACCATGTCGACATAATAAGCCAGAAAGGGGCATTACAAGCATATTTCCAACTTGGGCACCAGCATAACTTAAGCCTGTTAGAATACCTTTAAAAAATTTAAAAATTATTTAATCTTACTTTAAAAAAATACCTCTTTCCATTGGAGGTGCCCATCCAGACAATAATGAGTGCATAGCCGGGAATATAACACCCTAAAATAAAAAATAAATTATCACTCAATTAAAAATTACTTGTGTAAATCCAAGTAAAGCTCTTATTGAAATAAAAATAGCAACATTAAATCTCGCCATTCCAGGTGAAATTATTGAAATTAAAGAAGAGGCTAATACAGCAACAAGCAAAACAATTTTAGCCCCAAATCTTCCTGCCAAAATTCCCCCCAACATTTGGGAAGTTAAATAACCAAAGAAAAAAGCTCTTAAAATAATTATTTAAATTTAAATTTAAAATTAGATTAAAACCCAAGTATTTGGCCTTGTAATTGTTTGGACCAATCGAATTCTCCAATTATTATATCTGCAGCACCAACAGTATTAAATTCTTGGAAATTTGTGTTGTTTAGAGATGACTGGAATTTAAAACGAATTATAATTAAAGAAAATAATATATGTACATTAATGGGTTCTAATTTTAAAAATCTAAAAATTATTTTTGTCTTTAAAGAAAGTTTAAATTAAAATTATAAAATTATTCTTGTTGAATAAAACGTTAAATATTGTTTTTTATTATAACAAGCTTCAGGAAGGTCCGGGTACTGGTTCTTGAGTTTTGAGTTTTTTGCACGAAACACAAAACTATTATATATTAATTATTGATATAATGTAGAGGACCCAGTGTTAAGTTGATATATGTAAGTGTAAGTATAAATTAAATAAATATTTATTAAAAATTAGTTCAGAAAAGTAAACAACCTAAATCAACTATAAATTAATTTATTTAAGAATAACCTCAGAAATTTCATTAATTTTAACATTATTTAATTCTCTCCTTTGCCTTTGCGCAATAATTTCTTTTTCATTATTATAATTACATCCATATATTTTTGTTTTATTCTCTCCCCCTCCATCATCCTTAACCATACAAACAATTGCAAAACTTAAATTTGACCGAAGACTGTAAATAATTGCACATCCAAAAAAACACAAAAAAGCAATATTTAATCGAGTAGAACCTAAAAGACGGGGATTTGAAGTTGGGGAAGAAGAGGAGGAATTAATTTCAATTTTTGCTGTCATTTTTTAAAATTATTATAGTATTATTGTTGTTGTTATGGGATTAGTTGGTTTTTGAATTAAGTACAGAAAATTTGAGAAAATTATCTTTTAAAAATATTTTTATTGGAGATTGGCAAAACTAAAAAATTTTAAATTAAGTTATTATTTTTTTAAATTATTTTAAAAAATAAATTC